GCTGATTTAGTCAGAAAGAATGAATGTGACAGCTTTTTTTAAATAATTAAAACTTAATTATTTGTTTGATACAAGTAAACGCATTTGGCCGGAGGTGGGTTAAGATGATCTCTCTCTCTCTCTTGCAAAAACATGAATTATATTATTACACACTTCCCAATAATTTTCTTCCAGAGCCATTGAGCAGTGAGGAATCTTATTCGTGCCAACACCTATTGTGACACGGGACCTCAATTTATACGGTTTCATTCGAAGGACCAGTCTCCACGTCTTGCAGTGGATTCGAGACAGTAAGAATTTTAAATGGTTGCAACAATTCCAAGAAATACATATTCCGTAGTAACCACATGTTGATATCTATAATCAGCGTTTCTGTGGGGGTTTTTGTAGTAAAAGAATATGTTAGAAGCACACCTTCAAAAACATTTAAGAAGCAGCATAAAATTGCAGAGATATGTCTCTTAACAGGTGCATAATAAATGTTTTGTGCGCAATTAACATATAATGGTGGATCTATTAATAGCTCTTGGGCTGTCCATCCAGTTTTTTTTTTCCAGACAAGTAAGCTACAGGTCTGAAGCTAGTCTGTCACGAAATGGTCACTAAAATATTCCATATTTGGTCAATACAAGTTAATGTTACATATCAAAAACATAATATGTAAACGAGAAAGTACAAGCTGTGTTTGTGAAACATTGATGCCCCCACATGGCAGCTTAATCAACAAAATTTGAAACTCCAAGGACAAGGTCCCGTGGTATAAATTATAAGTATCCAGTGGAAACGTCTTGCCACATGGAGTATTTGTAAAAGCCCCAGCACCAACAGTTCAAAAATTATGGTCAAAGTTATTGTTTCTTCAAAGTAGGTCAAATACTACCTTCAAGGTCACGAAGTCAGAAATACAAACAAGCTTTTTACAAACTGGGGGCAAAAGTAGTTCAAACACCAAAGTCAAGGTCAGAACCGTAACGGAAAAAGGTCTTTTTGAAAGAAATTTCAGAAATATGAAAGTACCAATCGTTCAAAAGTTTTAATTCTTTATCAAAAATAGGTCAAACATAAGGTCATGTCAGTAGGTCAGAAATGCTGTTACCCTAAGAAAGGCCTCATCACAAGAAAAACACGTTAAATATGAAAGTCCTAGCCTCAACCGTTCAAAAGAAATTACCAATGTTAAAGTTTTACAAATTTAGGACAAAAATTGGTCAAACTCCAAGGTCATAGTAATGAGGTAACCAGAAGTCTCTGATGAGACTGTAGCTCTACTGGTCTGTTTGTATAACAAAAGAAAAGTAGCACTTGGATTTGAAACATTGCAACATGCAACAATAAATAGAATTATGTATCTTAATGTAGTCTACTTTTGTGACAAGTTATATTGAAATCAAATGAAAACTAGGAGTAGTAGCGTTTTGAAAGTATTTCACGGAAATTTTTTATTTTTATTTTTATTTTTAGTACCGGTAACCATGACAACACCATTCACCCAAATAAAAAAAACAGAAATACATATTATGTATCGTAGTGTATTCTAACTGTGTGCCAAATTAGATTGAAATCAGACCAAAATTGTAGGAGGAGTAACGTTTTAAAGGAATTTCACAGAAATTTCTATTTTAAGTAACCATGGCAACACTGTTCATCGAATTCAAAAACCAATGCAATAAATTATGTATCTTAGTATAGTCTTCTTGTATGCCTAATTATATTAGAAACAGACTAAAACTGTAGCAGGAGTAGTGTTTTAAAAGAATTTCAGAGAAATTTCTATTTTTAGTAACCATGGCAACACCGTCCATTGAATTCAAAAACCGATGCAATAAATTATGCATCTTAGTGTAGTGTACTTGTGTGCCAAGTTATATTGAAATCGGACCAAAACTGTAGGAGGAGTAGCGTTTTAAAGGAATTTCACAGAAATTTCTATTTTTAGTAACCATGGCAACACCGTCCATCGAAATCAAAAACCGATGCACTAAATTATGTATCTTAGTGTAGTCTACTTGTGTGCCAAGTTATATTGAAATCGGACCAAAACTGTAGGAGGAGTAGCGTTTTAAAGGAATTTCACAGAAATTTCTATTTTTAGTAACCATGGCAACACCGTCCATCGAAATCAAAAACCGATGCACTAAATTATGTATCTTAGTGTAGTGTACTTGTGTGCCAAGTTATATTGAAATCGGACCAAAACTGTAGGAGGAGTAGCGTTTTAAAGGAATTTCACAGAAATTTCTATTTTTAGTAACCATGGCAACACCGTCCATCGAAATCAAAAACCGATGCTCTAAATTATGTATCTTAGTGTAGTCTACTTGTGTGCCAAGTTATATTGAAATCGGACCAAAACTGTAGGAGGAGTAGCGTTTTAAAGGAATTTCACAGAAATTTCTATTTTTAGTAACCATGGCAACACCGTCCATCGAAATCAAAAACCGATGCACTAAATTATGTATCTTAGTGTAGTCTACTTGTGTGCCAAGTTATATTGAAATCGGACCAAAACTGTAGGAGGAGTAGCGTTTTAAAGGAATTTCACAGAAATTTCTATTTTTAGTAACCATGGCAACACCGTCCATCGAAATCAAAAACCGATGCACTAAATTATGTATCTTAGTGTAGTGTACTTGTGTGCCAAGTTATATTGAAATCGGACCAAAACTGTAGGAGGAGTAGCGTTTTAAAGGAATTTCACAGAAATTTCTATTTTTAGTAACCATGGCAACACCGTCCATCGAAATCAAAAACCGATGCACTAAATTATGTATCTTAGTGTAGTCTACTTGTGTGCCAAGTTATATTGAAATCGGACCAAAACTGTAGGAGGAGTAGCGTTTTAAAGGAATTTCACAGAAATTTCTATTTTTAGTAACCATGGCAACACCGTCCATCGAAATCAAAAACCGATGCACTAAATTATGTATCTTAGTGTAGTCTACTTGTGTGCCAAGTTATATTGAAATCGGACCAAAACTGTAGGAGGAGTAGCGTTTTAAAGGAATTTCACAGAAATTTCTATTTTTAGTAACCATGGCAACACCGTCCATCGAAATCAAAAACCGATGCACTAAATTATGTTTCTTAGTGTAGTCTACTTGTGTGCCAAGTTATATTGAAATCGGACCAAAACTGTAGGAGGAGTAGCGTTTTAAAGGAATTTCACAGAAATTTCTATTTTTAGTAACCATGGCAACACCGTCCATCGAAATCAAAAACCGATGCACTAAATTATGTTTCTTAGTGTAGTCTACTTGTGTGCCAAGTTATATTGAAATCGGACCAAAACTGTAGGAGGAGTAGCGTTTTAAAGGAATTTCACAGAAATTTCTATTTTTAGTAACCATGGCAACACCGTCCATCGAAATCAAAAACCGATGCTCTAAATTATGTATCTTAGTGTAGTGTACTTGTGTGCCAAGTTATATTGAAATCGGACCAAAACTGTAGGAGGAGTAGCGTTTTAAAGGAATTTCACAGAAATTTCTATTTTTAGTAACCATGGCAACACCGTCCATCGAAATCAAAAACCGATGCACTAAATTATGTATCTTAGTGTAGTGTACTTGTGTGCCAAGTTATATTGAAATCGGACCAAAACTGTAGGAGGAGTAGCGTTTTGAAAAATTGTTTACAGACAGACGGACAGACAGACAGACAGACGGACGGACGACGGACACCTTACTATCGCATAAGCTCTTCTGGTCTCTGACCAGTAGAGCTAAAAATGTTGGTATCCAAAAGGTCTTGTCATCAGAGATTTGCAGATTCAGAATCCCATGCAATTCCAATATAAATATTGTTTATATAAATGTTATCACACGCGAAATACATGTAGACCATTTATTTGTCTCTTACTTGTACATCTAGGTAAACATCCAGCAAGAATGTTTCTAACTGTTATATAAGCATGCCTTCAGTCAGTTTAAAAAAGACAAATGTTTGGTTGAATCGTGATGTTCTTTGTAGCTTTTCTGTCTTTAAAGGACATAATAGGCAATCAACAGATAAGTCAAACATGCATCTAAGCAATCAGCCTGCGTGGCGCAGTGGTTAGAGTGTCTGCTCTAGAGTCGCGAAGTAAGGAGTTGATCCTTACGTCGCGGGTTCGAATCCCACTGTGGGACGTGGAGACCGGTCCTTTGGATGAGACCGTATAAACCGAGGTCCCGTGTCGCAGTAGGTACTGGCACGAAAAAGATCCCTCACTGCTCAATGGCCGTAAGTGCCGAGTATAGGACAAAATTTGCAGCTCTCCATCGGCAAGTGGTGGCGTCTCTATATGAGTGAAAAATTCTCGAGAGGGACGTTAAACAAACAACAAACAAACAAACAAAACATCTAAGCAATCGTAAAGTCGAAATAGTTTAAAAAGTATTACATTGTATAAGGTTACAGATTTTTCAATCGCTGTAAACATTCTAGAAACCAGACGTCACATAAATATTGTAGATCTACAACTTTGTTCTTCTTATAGTTGCAAAAATTTTGCATCTTGATGTCAAACACTTGTTTTGCATTTATTATGGATATTTTTCGAAAATAACAATTTAAGATAAGATTATCGACAATGACCGTGTGGCGTAGTGGTTAGAGCGTTTGCTCTAGAGTCGCGAAGTAAGGAGTTGATCCTTACGTCGCGGGTTCGAATCCCACTGTGGGCCTGTAGACCGGTCCTTCGGATTAGACCGTATAAACCGAGGTCCCGTTTCGCAGTAGGTGCTGGCACGAAAAAGATTCCTCACTGCTCAATGGCCCTGAGTGCCGAGTATAGGTCAAAATTTACAGCTCTCCACCGGCTAGTGGTCGTGGCGTCTACATATGTGTGAAAAATTCTCGAGAGGTACGTTAAACAACAAACAAACAAACAAAATCGACCATGACATTTTTCAAGCTGAACATTGCCTACATTGACTGCTCACTTATATTCAGACTTTGTGGTTAAATCTGGCAATATATTCATTATACATGTATAAGCTGTTAGAAACAAAATATGTATATGAAAATCAAATGATTTATTGCAAATATCCAACTTGTAGTATTCAATATACTAGTACTAGTGAATTTCAAAATTCCTGTGGTTTTCACAGTGAGTTTTACTATATCGTTTCTAAAGTGCCTTTGAATCTTCAAAATATCTAATAAAACTTGCAATGTCACATATTTTCTCCTTTTGAGAAGACGATATCTTTAGAGAGTTTGTGAACAACACATGTGACATTTTTGTACTTCCCGTCACAGAAAATAGCGGAGGACATCTTGGCTGCCACATCGTTTAGTATATACAGGAAGTTTGTTCTATTGTTTAAAAGACGACCTTCACCGTACTCATTAATTACGGAATCATGTAAATATTTTAACATGTAGCTGCCCATATCTTCATTCCTAATAGCATAATGTCCTGAAATAGAAAGATGGGAAATATCAGATTTCGTTTCAACAAGAGCTCTAAAGGACTTGCTGGCCACCTAAGAATCATGAATGTTTCTTGCTTTGACCACTTTGGCCCCCACTTGGAACTTGTCTTAACTTATGTGACAAAAACTTAACAGTCTAAGTATTAGTGGTGTAACTCTATAATCATTATTATGCTCAAGAGGTTTGTCACTTAGAAGTTCAGAAGTAAAAAAAAACAAGGTACAGTATATAATAAATTTCATTATCTGACTAATTGAGCCCCACCTGGGACCTGATCCATGGTCATAAGGAATATAAATCATATGCGGTACCAATTTTGATGCACCAGATGCGCATTTCGATAAATTGTGTCTCTTCACTGATGCTGAAGCCGAAACGTTGGAAATCCAAAATATTTCAATAAAAAAAACTTTTAAGAGCTGAAAAAGGTGCCAAAGACTAGAGCCAAATACGTCGAAGGATCAGAGCTATGCATGAGGGAGATAATCCTTAATTTTGAAATAAATTTTGAAAATTTTACCACAGAAATTAAATATATATCCGTATTTTCAAGCTAGTACCGAAGTACTAGGTTACTGGGCTGTAGAGACCCTCGGGGAACATTATTAAAAAAAATCTTAGTAGAGGAAGATCATTATAATCCTGCAACAATTTTACTGCTACATGTGCATGAGTAATTAAGATTTTCACACTTGAATTACTTTCAATAAATGACCAACTCGACCCCACCTTTTGGCCTTAACCATGACCCGGGGTGGGGGGTGGGGGGAGGGTGTGTCCAATTTAACAATTTTTGATAGAGGTCTGACACGTAAAGCAATTTGTATACCAGATGTCCACGGTTATATAAGATTTATAAAGGTAACACGAATTTTCTATATATGACCAACATACTTCAACCTTGGATCTGTAAGCTGGATACAGTGGAATATCTTTTGTAGTTGTAGTAGAGAAGAAAATATTTTCAAAATTGTAATTTATTTTTTAATATTTGATCAACCAAGCACCACCCAAAGCCCTGAACCATAAACCCCGGGGTTATAAATTTCACAATTTTTGTAGAATGTTCAATGCTATATATATTCATTCAAAGATTTTGCCTGATAGATGTCCATGAGTAAAGAAGATTTTAAAAGACATGATGCATATCCGTATTTGATCATCTTAGCCTTATTCTGGAGCCTAAGGCCATAAATTTCACAGATATGGTAGAGGGCGTATTGCTCATTATAATCATGTCAACATTTTAACAAACAGACGTCTAGGAGTAAAGAGGAAGATTTTGAAGATTGTATTAATTTTTATGGCATTTTCTCCCCCCCCCCACCCCCCTTGAGGCTTTAAGGAGGCAGAGAGTAAGAAATTCACAGTTAATGGTCCCCTTTACTCATAGATGCTATGTGCCAAAATTGGATAAAATAGCCTCAGCGGTTCCAAGGAAGAAGCTAAAAATAATCACATGTTTACGGTCGACACACGTAGCACGACAAGAACAGAGCAATAGGTTACCTGGGTGACACAGATGGCTCACAAAATACTGATTTACATTTATCAGTAAACTTGTGAAACACTAAAGATCAAAAGAAAACAAAGTAAGACATTTTGCCAGTAGTTTGTACCTATTGCTGAGGAACAGCGAGACGAGGTAAGCCTATCAACCTATCATAAAACAGGATATCCATATAAGTAATTGACAAATTTAATCACTGCCTATTAAAATTCCAAAACTAAAAAAGTGTAATATATTCTTATATTTAAAAAGTGATAATTTTAACTGGCATTATATTAACTGATTTGAGCAGTCTTTGGTTATGAATTCTGACCTTCAGGAGAAGCAAACACGACCAGCATATCATTGTGACAAGGGACGGCTGTAATGTGGAGTGGAGCCTGTGATGGTCGATATCGAATAGCACGAGGAGGGTCTACTTCGTCACCTAATTCCCCAATGTCTATTGGGGGGTCTAATAAAACTTCTTCGGAATTACTCCAGCTATCCCCTACCTCATCAGAAAAAGATACCTGAATTCAATTGAATAAAGTATTTTGTCAAAGCTAAATCAAAGCAGTTAAATTTCTAAAATCTGTTAATAAAATTAAAGTGCTTTTGAATTTGAGAAGTGATTATTTTAAATATATAGTAATATTGTAATTTTTTTTCCCGTACTGGTAGCTTTAAGATCTAATAATATAAAAAGTATTTAATTAAATGAAAAATGATTTTTTTCATGTTTCATTTGCACAAGATCTTGCAATCATATCATTCTGCATTGTCATATAATGTCTAAATATAATTGAACATCGCAAGCAAAAACTTGACAAGCAAACGTAGTTTTTCTTCTTAAGTTAAATTACTGTGGTTCTGATATATTAGCCGACTAAAAAGTCGAGAGAAATGTGCGTAATTATTGGTTGCTTTCATCAACAAACCGATTCTGAAGTTGTACAGTTTTGGCATATTCTATTGTTTTATTGACTGTGATAAGAAACCTACCTTTGCAGTATCAGCAGCATCTTCTTCCACCTCTGATAAAATCTTTGGATCAGAATCTAAAGCTACACAGAAAGTATTCCTCTTTAATTTAGTCTCCACGTATATCCATTTCACACACACACACACACTCTCTCTCTCTCAGTGCTTGAAAAAAAAATTAGGAGTAGATTGAGTCCTGCAAAAATGAGAAACCTATTTTGAACCTTTCCATCGCATTTTAGTCTTTATCATTGTATATCATGTTATAAATTTTAAATTTACTAGTTGGTGGTAAATGCAGTTATAAATCATATTGTAAAGTCTGCATTTACCTCATTCTAGTAAATTCAAAATTTACAACATGATATAATTGTATTGAATGCAATATCTTTTTAATTAGACGAATAAATGCTGTACATCGTCACCTAGTCTTCCATTTTACATTCTTTAGTAAATTTAAGTAAACAGAAGAAGCATAAAAAAAAATCCTTCAGAGGGATTGTATAAAACGTTTACCTTCCTCTCTCGATATAATGGAACCTTCTTTGTAATCTGTCTTGTCATGTCTACATTTATTTTTGTTTGGTTCCTCTAGATCAAGTTTGTGGAGACCTGTCCCTGCATCAAATCCAATACCCTGAACTCGGTGTTTCTTAGATGACTTACTTTCAGGAATTCTACAAGCCTGATAATAAATAAAAAGACTATATCAAGGAAATTTCAAGACAATGTCTACATAATAAACATAACTAGGTTAAAAAAATGCCAGTAATTGAATATGTTATTCATACACAATCTAGTTAAAAATATTATTGTTTACTACAGCATCAAAGTTTTAAAATGTAGTGAATTAAAGTATCAAAGTTTTTACCATACAGTAAATAAAAGTATCAAAGTTTTTGTTGAAATAAATAACAATTTTTACTATAGTCAATCAAAGTATTTTTACTGAATTTCAAATTGTTGAATTTTATTTTTTCAAATTTTTACATGATAAATTTTCATGTTAAAAAAGGAAATACTAGGTTTCACAGGTACTTGTGGACAGGACCCCCCCCCCCCCCCCGAATATATACCCCTGGGTCAAAGAACATTTTTTGTGTCTTTTTACATAAATTATTCCAAGCTCCAGACAGCTCAGTATTACGTTATGCGACAACTCCATTATTCGTAGGGAAAGTAGTCCCGGTGAATTGACACTGTATGGAGTTGAAATTATTCTTCTACTTTACAATTAAAACGTATTCCATACGAAAAATCCGAAAAATAACGCAGAATAACCGTTTTATTAAAAAAGTCATACCCGCGGTACATCTCTGTCTTATAATACAGCGGGTATGACTTTTTTAATAAAACGGTTATTCTGCGTTATTTTTCGGATTTTTCGTATGGAATACGTTTTAATTGTGAGGTTATTCTGAGTTATTTTGCGGATTTTTCATATGGAATACGTTTTAATTGTAAAATAGAAGAATAGTTTATGAAAAAAGACACAGGGCTTTTATTACCTTGGACCCGCTGGGAGCTTCAATGCAGCCCCCAGACCCCCTGCCTTCTACTGCCCCCCCCCCCCCCCCGTTATGAAATTCCTGGATCCGCGCTGAAAAGCCAACTAAATCATCGAAGAAAAAAATTCAAATTACTTGAATGAAGAAAAGTTTAGGTTTTCCTTTCAGTGCTTTACACTTTCTAAACTTCTCCAGAATTGTAGCAGTATAATAGCTCTGGTCGTCATTCATTAGTAGGGCGTGATGGTGGACGACGTAATCTCTCTTAGCTCTGTTCGCACTCTCTAGCTCCAACCCATGTGTACTGATGGCCAACACAAAACTATCATAATCTGTCAGTGTATCATCTTTGGAATCTACAAAGAGAACGTTTACTCGATATATAGTTTACTTTCACCAAGCAAAACAAATACAATTTAGGATTTCGAAACTACTTATCAGACAGGATTTTGCATACGGTGATTCAATATTTAATTACCTATAATGTGTTTGTGAAACACTGATGCCCCCGTATGGCAGCTTATGGCGAAGGTTAAAGTTTCTCAAATGCAAGTCAAAATCGAGTCCAAAAGATAAAAAAAATGTTGGTAGCCAAAGAAAGGTCTTGTCTCGAGGAATATACCTGTGAAATTTGAAAGCCCTAGCTGCAACTGTTCAAAAGTTATGGCGAAGATTAAAGTTTTTTAAAAGTAAGCAAAACATCAAGGTCAAGGCAAAGTTGTTGGTATCCAAAGGAAGGTCTTGTCACAAGGATTACATATGTGAAGTATGAAAGCTGTAGCACCAACCATTCGAAAGTTATGACCAAGGTTAAAGTTTTTCGAAAGTAGATCAAACTCCTATGTCAAGGTCAAAGGGTCAAAGTGGTTGGTATCAAAAGGAGGGTGATGTCACAAGGATTACATATGTGAAGTATGAAAGCCCTAGCATCAATCATTCAAAAGTGATGGCCAAGGTTAAAGTTTTTCAAAAGTAGGTCAAACTCCTAGGTCAAGGTCAAAGGGTTGAAGAGGTTGATATCCAGAGGAAGCTCTTGCCACAAGGAATACACATGTGAAGTTTGAAACCCCAAGCACCAACTGTTCAAAAGTTATGGCCAAGGTTGAAGTTTTTCAAAAGTAGGTCAAACTCCAAGGTCAAGGTTAAAAGGTCAAAGTTGTTGGTATCCAAAGGAAGGCCTTGTCACAAAGAATACACATGTGAAGTTTGAAACCCCAAGCACCAACTGTTCAGAAGCTATGGCCAAGGTTAAAGTCTCATAAAAATTTGCAAAAGTGTGTCAAACTCCAAGGTCAAGGTCAAAAGGTCAAATATGATGGTACCCAAAGAAAGGTCTTGTCACAAGGAATACACATGTTAAAAATGAAAGTCATGGCTCCAACCAATCAAAAGTTATGGGCATGGTTAAAGTTGACAACAGACAGGCAAACAGACAGACAGGACAAAAACAATATACCCCCGGGATCTTTCGATCCGGGGGCATAAAAAAAAAATCATTGAGTGAATTATGAATTCCAGTCTGATCACTTTTACAGGAAGATTTAAGTTTACTTACAATAGTTTATAACCTCGATAAACCGTCGTTTACTGAGATTTTTGTAGAGTTTAACTTTAAATCCCAGTACTTCAAACGTTCTTGTCATGTACGTGATGTCCTCTTTGGAACCCCTTCTCTCCTCTGTAAAGTTAACAATCACCACCGCTAATCCCTGATACTCCCTATTAGGTCGAAACTTATATTCATCACCAGAATCCATCATCTATGTCACTTTTAGAAGAGAAATACCTAGACACAACGGAACAATTGCTTCATTATAATCACTCCATATAAATTAGTTGCTATTAATAGAGTATCAACAATCTTGTTTGAAATCAAAACATCGGAAATTCTATGACCCATAAAGTAGCATTGTTTGCAATACAATCTGTTGTTCGATCGAATGTTGAATGGAACATTGAATACAAATTTTAAGCTTTTTTTCTTCTGGATTGTTGAAAGATTTATCCGATCATGATCCTTTCGACAGGGGATGTTTGCTCATCCATAGCACTTGATCTCACCTCTGATGTTTTCAGAGGTCCATGGTAGCTCTGCACAAAAATTGTTTTTTAATGGACTCTTGTAAATGGTTACTATTCGTTAAGAGAAAAAAAATTCTGTAAATTTTTGCAGTGTAGTTTTAGGCAGAACTCGATCAAATTGCAATTAACGGTAATCTTTATATACCATTTGTATGTTATAATTTTCATTCATATTCTATAATTTTCCATTTGTATTGTATAATTTTCCATTTGTATTCTATAATTTTCAATTTGGATTGCATAACATTTATTTGCATTCTATATTTTCCATTTGTATTATAAAAAAATCATTTGTATTGTATAAGTTTTTATTTGTATTCTATATTTTCCATTTGCATAGTATAATTTATTAATTGTATTGTATAATTTCTTATTTCATTCGCATTCATTTGTATCTGAGGGATTTTTAAGTCTTTTTTATAGTGTTCTTGAAAGAAGCGAGATGGTCTAGGTGAACTAGGCTCCTCTGGCTATTTGCGTGGATGCTAAGGGACGTCATTTAATTCTCAAGAGATAGGGGCTAGCAGATCAGATTATTTATTTTCCTGCTCTTGCAGGAGAGATTATTTATGTCGAAAATGACCAGAGACGTGGAGAAGAAGAAAATCTGTCCCAACCCGCCATCTGCAGGCGCTCCCTTTTCATCTAAATGACCGTCCTCTAACATGCACGCAAATACATATAGGAGCCCAGTTTGCTTTGAGTAACCGGAACATCTCGCTCATTTTCAACACGATACAGGCTAAATTTTGACCAATAAAATCCTTCATAACGAAATAGAAAAACAATCTTCGAATACAATACAAAAGAAATATCATCGAATACAAATGAGATAATTTAAAATACAAATAAGAAATTTTACAAAGCAAATGCAAAATATAGAATGCAAATGAAAAATTATACAATTCAAATTATTTTTTTACAATACAAATGGAAAACAAAGAATACAAATAAAAGATTATACAATTCAAATGAAAAATTATAGAATGCAAATGGAAAATTATAGAATACAAATAAAAAATATACAATACAAGTGAAAAATCTCACAATACAAATATGAAGATTATACGATACAAATGGAAAATTATAGAATACAAAAAAGAATTATACGATACAAATGGAAAATTATAGAATACAAAAAAGAATTATACGATACAAATGGAAAATTATAGAATACAAAAAAGAATTATACGATACAAATGGAAAATTATAGAATACAAAAAAGAATTATACGATACAAATGGAAAATTATAGAATACAAAAAAGAATTATACGATACAAATGGAAAATTTTACAATACAAATGTAAAAGATCGAATATTGCAACGTTTGACTTGCCATAATAGATAAGCCAAGTTTAATTTCTTCTCAATGGGTAAGTGAAATACGCAGGGTATGGGTAACTTGCGGTATCTAACAGGACTTCCAGACTTTGGATTCTCTTTTGATCAAGAAATTTTTAGGGCTTAAATCAAATTCAAATCAAATCAAATATTTATTCTAAATAAAATTCCACATGCAAAAAAGAAGAAGAAAGCGAGGTAGCATAATAATCATGTTAAAATCCTTGTAGAAGGTTTATTTTCTTTTAGATCCACCTCTCGAAGCTTCTGCCATCATTTGTCTACTCCTATCACTCTTAGGGGGAATATAGGTAATTATTGTTAATAGTAATTTTACTGAGTTCACCCCGTAGCTGAAAAGGTAAGACATTCTTAGTATGTTATCATTTACTTGGTTTTGCTTTGGATCTAATTTAGTCAAATGTCTCGATTTCAAAATTATTTACTCATGGAAAATGTAAACAAGTGAAATTACAAGCTTTTTGTTAATTAAAGATGTTCTTCATTTTTCACGAATTTCACTCAATCCGATACATCGAAAATAAATTTTAACAAGGGCCTTAACGGTCACCTGAGCAAATTTGCTAGCCATAACTACACATATGTACTTTGTTTGTTTAATATCAGGAGCAGAGAAGAAAATTTTCAAAGAATTAATGCATTTTCACTTTATATATAGATATATAAAACCAGAACCCCTGATCCAGGGGCCATGAAATACACAATTTTGGAAGAGGCGCCCTTGCTCATCATAACTATGTGCTTAGTTTGTTTCTCAGGAGAAGAGAAGAAGATTTTCAAAGAAATATTGCACTTTCACAATATGATCTATATAGCCCCACCCTAGCACCAGAACCCCTGACCATGGGGCCATGAATTTTCACAATTTTGGTAGAAAGCTCAGTGCTTATTACAATCATGTCAACTGTTTGACTGCTTGATGTCCAGGAGTAAAGAAGAAGATTTTTAAAGACTGCATTCATTTTGATGGTTTTAACCCCACCCTTCAGGACCCGGGGGGGGGGGGGGGGGCAGGGAGCATGAGATTCACATTTTTGTTCCCCTTCACCCATAGATGCTAAATGCCGAAACTGGTTGAAATTGGTTTGGCGGTTCCAGAGAAGAAATTGAAAATGTTCAAATGTTAACGCAAGACGCACAAGCACGACGAAACGACAGACAAAAACGGATAGCAATATGTTACCTGAGTGACTCAGGTGACCTAAAAATTAATTAAGATAAACCGGAGAATGTTCTCTTCGATTTGTACCTGTTAAATTCACTGTCGAGTTTGTTTTCTGCCTTGTCAAAGTCTAAAGTTTCTAGCATGAAAAGTAAAACAAAAAATTATAAAGCTACAAAGTTAACTTGACATCGCAAGATATTTCCTTGAAAAAAAAAAGGGAATCCATTCCGTTCATGTTCCTTATGTTTTATGTTCATTAGATCCGAGGAATTTATTTACGAAAAGGATATTATAATGGCAGCATCGTCCCGCCTTAGAAGTGCAAACAACGCTCCTCCCAGAGTTATCGTTCCCGCTACGCTCCACTAATAGTGTTGTAGCGTAGCGTAATATGCCCTCTGGTGAGAGATTGTGTGGCTATAGTCTGGCGCGGCTAGATTTCTTTTTAATATACATGCAACGAAAACCCTGCAGTGACATGGAAAGGATGTCCATTCCTTAAATGAATTATTATACTTTACGGGATACCTGACCATGGATAATTACTTAAATTTAAGAGATTAAGCCATACCTTATCAGCGAGTCCAAGGAGTTAAAGTAAAACTACTTCCTCATTCAGGGGAAGATACCGTCATATACTTAAGTAACTTTCCATACTTAAACAATAGTACGTTATGTTATTCGGTTAATGGGGGGTAAATAATTGTGCACTTCCTCTGATTTAGGCCATGTTGTATTACGAAAGTTGTTTAAATGTTTTTACTAGAACAAATCCTTGAAACTATGAATCCATCTGATAGGGTAGTTTTATTTGGGATTTCAGGACATTAATTGGAAATGTTTTTCTTTGTATCTCGTAGGAATTCTTTATATATATATATAGACTCAAGACTATTCTATCCAAACAAATCATTCCCTTACAGAAAAAGCATGAACGTAAAATGAATTTGTATAATTCATTTTCCCTAAACCACTAAGAGTTCACCCCCCCCCCCCCAAATGATTTTACAGTACTTGCGTATTAATATTGAAGCAAATAGTTTTACTTTCTATGAGCAGATTTGCAGGGAGATACAGGTATATGCCTATATATCTACGAATAACAGCTTGATGTGATCATGTATTTCAAGTTAAGAAGCAATATCTTTTCGGCAAAAAGAACTACAAGTGATGTTCAATAAATAATGCAAAAGTATAAAAAAAAAAAAAATAAGAAAAGCACAAAAAGCAATTTGTTTATACAGTGTAAGCCTATATTTTGAATCCCTCTGCTAACCTTTACGCATGATTGTATTAAGTCTCTGTACCAATGACCAGAACTCTCTGCATACTCTTCTACAGGGATGCTCAAAAGACACTGTCAGCGAACACTCCCCTCCCACAGAACCAGGACAGATCTAAAATTATAGTGTCTTCCTTTGATGGATCTCTTGAGGATTTGGAATAAAAATATGACATAATGACTGAAATCTAGAGTGTAGAGAAGCTCTGTAAATGTTAGTTACCCTTTCTTCGGGATTTCCTTTACATCTCTATGCTTATCTGCAGCAGCGAATTGTTGTGCACAAGAAAATCAGCCTAAAGGCCGGTGCTTGGACTGTCCTTACAGAAAATCTGCTTAGCTTTCCTTGATACAATTTTGATATAAAAGCTACCATAGATGGACCTTCCTTTTAGTGTAAATACATGTATTACTGGACCTCTCGAGTAGAAGAATTTATCTTAAGACTCTGCCTTCTCTTTGCAATAATAGGACGACATCTTTCTCTCTCGTTCTACATTTTATTTTGATCTTCCTTTTGTGCTGTAGAAAATGCACTCATTTTTCGTCACCATCATCCAACTTTAATGATATCTATTTTGTATGTTTACTGATAGTAGTTCCTTAGCAATTTGAACACCTGTTTTCTTTTAGGCATCTGTAAGAAAATTAAGCACCCATCTGTCAGAAATCTCTTTTGTTACATGTAGAACTCTATAAGCTATTGTGGTGATGGAATAGTAAATGCCTTATGAATGTCTTTCACTTTTAATCTTACATTTTTAAATATCATGTTACTCACAGCATCGATGTTTCTTTTAGTGTCATTTCAATTATCCGCACCTGCAGTCACTCCTCCACTGACCTAATATGGATGTAAGATAATGAGATGATGAACTATCTAAATTTCATATAACATATGGAATCTAACATGTTTAAGAAGCCCTGTTTTCGATAAGGTGTTTGTATGACCAGATGTATTACATAACACCTTTTAAACTTTTTTATACAAACTTATTAAAAACTTATAGTGCCATGACCTATATAGTGCCATGACCTACGATTCATTGTGGCTAGTATATTTAAAAAAAACTACATATTCACGATTCCACCAACATTAATAGCGATTATTTCCGTTTTCATGGGTTAAATTCCCGAGTTTCATAAAATTCTTCCTCGTGTGCACTAAGATAGACATGAACGCGCAGTCTCATCAAACTTTCAACGAAGAAAAAAAATAAACATTTCTTAGAATGGTAAGTATTGCTCTGCATTTATTTTCGAGGTGAAATAAGTATAAATCAAAATATGCATTGTCTTTTTCTTTGTTTACATAGCACACTATCGACAGGAATTAAATAATTCATGATTCGTAAATCATTGCACTAGTATTGTCAGGTTCTGTTTAGAATCAGTTTGGAGGAGGAAAATGAGAGAAAAAAATGCATGCGCTTTGCATGAACATTATCATAATAAATGTATAATTTGCCATAGATATATGATTTTTTTTTTTAAAATAATTACATTCAAACTTCAAGCAAAGTAAGTTTCTTCAAGCAGTAGGAAGGACCACCTTATATTTTGAGTTTGGTGATAAAGGGTATGGAAGACTTCCACTGGTGACGAAACTACAATGATGAAAAACCCTTATACAATATAATATTGCGTGCGTGTGCACTTGTAAACTACTACCATAAGCTACGTGCTTATTTGTTTTATGTGTTTTTATTTATATAGTTGAGTCTGTCAAAACCTCGCTTTTATACTCATACTGTTTTTAAATCTTTCGATAATGAAACGAGTACCGGTATATTAAATGCTTTTGACTCATTACGTCTCTTTATGACAGATTACGGTCTCTTGGAAGGGGCAGTCACGAGTAAGCAAAAAAAAAAAAAAAAAAAAAAGTTCGGGGAGAGGGGACGTACGTGTCTTCACAATGTAAAGGTTCCTGTACAGAATCACACCGTTATCAATTTAATTCTGAAGATAGAGGCACCATATCACAAAACCTTGACATTATGAAGACGGGGTCGTTATATAATTTTTTCATTGCCTTTTGGGAGGGTCTTTGATGCACCACATTAATATTAATATTTTTCATTTACAAGTCTGAAGAAAAATTAGTTTGCTTCTTCTTTTAAAGAAAAGAACAGGTGCCATGATATAAAAGTCGATATTAAGAATAAAGAATTTACTGTACTGTAACACATAAAGGAGATTTTAACCAAAAAAATCATTCACTTGTTAATCAATAACTTAAACTTAAATTCTGACGATGTGGACGTTAAATTAATTAAATTCTTAACCGTACTGTAACATTTCTTTGGTAACAGAACGATCTCTAGCATATTCAAGTAGCTAACTGTTTTAGTGACAAGAACGAGCTAATAAGATGCTGATTTGTTTGATCCACTCTCGTTACCATGTAAAATAGTTAAGAAACCGATTGATTTCCACATTTCCCTCTGAATATTGAAAAAAATTATGGAGCATACATTTCGTAAACGATACAATTTTACATATGATTATACAATAAATTAAAGCATTAAAGACTTCAGTAATAAATTTAAATCAATGTAATATGAGCCTTTATTAAAGCATTTGATTCTTTGTTTAATTGTTTCGTTCATTCATTCCTTTCTTTTTGAACTGGTGTAGAGACATAGAACATTGCGCAAGAAAGGCCGTCTTTGAACCATGTAGATGTCGTCCACTCCAAATCGTACACATCCGAATTCGACAGCAAAGACCAAACTGATGGGCAAAGCTCATCATATATGCCTTCAGGAATGTCTGTCCCAAATATCAGGTAAATATATAAAGACCTGGGATATCCTCCAACACCCTTATCATATATAAGGTAAATATAAAGTAAAGCTGTCCCCTACTACACATTAGATATTATAAAGCCAGGATATCCCTCAATTCATTACCATTCAGATATTAAATAAATATAAAGCCAAAATATCTTCTCAATTCAATACTATATATTAGATAAATATCAACATGTCGTGGAAGGGCTTCAAATTTAGACTATACTCGACAATCAGGGCTATGGAGCAGTGCGGATTCTTCATCGTGCCAACGCCTACCGCGACATGGGACCTTGTCTTTATTTAGGTCCATTTAGTGTGAAAATAGTGAACTTACAATTTACATGAGAGACGTCAGTCATTTTAACTGAATGACAAAGGAAAAGACGTCAGCTTTTTTATCGTTTTATTTTTGTAGTATAATTCCGCTAGTATCTTCATATGGTGTTTACGTCTCCCAACTTATTCGATACATAAGAGCATGCTCTGAGTACGATCAATTTTAAATCTGAGGCAGTCTACTGACAATTAAGTTGATGTTACATGGATTTCAACAACCTCGTTAAATAGCCGAATTTTGTAAATTCTATGGTCATTACAGTGGCCTTGTTTGCAAATACAACCTTTATCACAGGGTGGCATTTTGGCTGACATATTTCATGCCAATTGTAAGGCCATTGTTTTCTAAAATTAAATTTAACTATGGACTATTCCCTCTTCCTGACCAATACATGCGGCCCGCGGCGGGTGTGACCGTCCGACAGGAGATGCTTACTCTTCACCTCCGTCAACATTCGACCTAACGACAAATTGTATTTGCAAAAAGGATCATTTTATCGACTACTAGTCTATAGAGTTGCTATTTTTGACTTTAATCAGAAATGTTGATATCCTTGTATCGTCAACTTATTTGTCAATAGTTTGCTTTGTTTTAGAAATTGTTCGTGCATAGAACATCCTCTTGCGTATCGAATTACAGTAACTGGTTCATAAACTCCGAAGCATATAATGGTATAATTTTGCTATACAGCTCCGCGCACTTTTTAAGCTCACATGGTTTTTCAGACAAATTAAGGTCACATTCGTCTTGTAATAAAAATTAACATAATTATCGAACTTCAGTACGACGACATAACCCTGAGATTTATTATATTTCTCATTTCAATGGTACATGTCCTTTAAAATTATTACCTTAAGTTTCCAAAGTCGATGTTTTAAACGAGAGTTTATCAATAAATTATACGATGTAACAACAATATGATTTTACCATAGGTATAATCGAGCTTTCTTAGATACAATTTAGTTGAAATTTGACTTCTTAAAGGTGAGTATTTTTCTAAGTACTTTGCTCATTTACCATAGTCGTCTTGGCTTTGTCAAAATGTAGCGCCGAAAAGGGACAACGCTGCAGAAAGAAACCATGCCAAAAGAGTATCTTTTAGAATAGTAAATTGTTACTATTGAAAGGAAAATTCTTTTACATTTACAGTTTGAAACTTTTACGGTGTTGAAAGTTTGCAGTGATCGAGACGGATCTCTCATAAAGCTGGACTTCAAAAAGTAACTCTGAAAAATCCAGCTTTTTAACATAGAAGGCAGTCGAACAGATGAGAAAAACTGTTATCATTTTGCGCTAAAGAGTCATGATAATATACAAAAAATACAAATTACAGGAACTGGTCTGTGTCTAGGCGAGGCAAAAAAGTCATCCATAGTCAAGAGAAAATCTTCAAGAATTTAGCATTAGAGGAAAGGCGATTCATTACAATCACCTTTAAATGGTTTTCACGTAATACATGCATTTCAGATCGAAAAGGGGGGGGGGTGAATTTTGTGAGGTCTCTCATTTTTCCTCTGGATAGGTTGTCTATGCTTACAGAAATTGAAGAAATTTTTTTTTTTAAAGTATTGAGTTCCTTTGGAAGTTATTGTACAGTACATTGGAAGTTATTGTACGGCTAAGCTTCGCCCCCTAGAAGTTATAGTACGTTGGAATTCAGCCAAAGGTTTTCTATCTCATTTAAAGTATGGCTAACATCAAAAGAAAAAGTACCGCACCATGACACAAATGTTGACTCAGTTCTGAATTGGTTTTGATTACAGCGGTAGTCGGATGCCTTATCCTTGTCCTCGTCATGGTGTTAGTTTTGATACGCCTTCGGAAACGGAAAAGGTAAGTACATGTACATATCAAAAACGCTCAGAATCGGTATGCTTCCTCTCAGGTCTCTCACCACAGTGTTAATGTGGTCTCTTCCCACCACAGTGTTAATCTAGTCTCTTCCCAACATAGTGTTAATCTAGTCTCTTCCCCAGAAGTGTGTCAACTTTTAAGCCATTCAGTTAGTATCATACCTTATCCAATACAGCTTCTTTAGAATGGAAATTAAGATATTTAAAAATGTAACAATTTATAATTATCTGAACGAAGTACATTATTGAAGAACTAGTATAAAACTAATGCGTATCAAGTCTCTATAATTTACTATCATAATATCAGTAGTTTTCAAATATTGCTCTCCAATCATGGAACACTTGAAAAAAATACAGTCGTTTGTAAGAGCTATGCACATTATCAATAGTTATAATACATGTATTTTTATGCCCCCGTAATCGAAGATCATAGTTTTTGCTCTGTCTGTTTGTCCGCAAAAAGTTTATCCTTGTCCATAACTTTTTGATTGGTTAGAGCTGTGGCTTTTATGTTTCCTATGTGTATTTCTAGTGACAAGACCATTATTTGGGACCAACATATTTAACCTCTTGACCTTGGAGTTTGACCTACTTTTGCAAAAATTTCCAAATTTTAACCTTGACCTTAACTTTTGAACGGTTGGTGCTAGCTAGGTCTTTCATTTTCCACAGGTGTATTACTTGGGACCATACCTTCCCATGGATACCAACAATTTTGACCTTTTGGACGGGGTTAAAGTTTTTCAAAAGTCGAACTTTCATATTACACATGTGTTTTACTTGAGACAAGTAGCAACAAATTTGACCCTTTGACCTTGTCCTTCGAGTTTGACCCACTTTTGAAAAACTTTAACCTTGGCTATAACTTTTCAATTGTTGGTACTAAGGCTTTCATATTTCACATGCCTGTGCATTCCATGTGACAAGACCTTTCCTTGTGCACCATTAATTTTTGACCCATTAACCTTGACCTTGGTGTTTGACTTGTATTTCATTTTGAGAAACTTTAATCTTCGCCATGAGCTGCCATACGAGGCATCAGTGTTTCACAAACACATCTTGTTTTAATCCTTGAAACTGTATTGATCAAGTCTTTGTCGCCAGCAATTCAAGTTTGTCTTGTTATGATAGGAAGTGCGGAGGAATACTTAGCAGCAGCATGAGATACAGCATGCAAGCGATATCGCGAGAAAACAGGCTCTATAATCACCACGCAACAGCTGAACTTCCGCCAGAAGAAGAAAGCATCTCAGGATGTGAGATTTACGGACGACGAGAAGAGATACTGACATATGGTAAATATGATTATTTAGAAACAAGAGGCCCATGGGCCACATCGCTCACCTGAGCACATTGGCTAGGAAAAAGCAGAAATCAGTAAATCAGTTCAGTATTTTAAAAGTTTACCGGGAAGGGGGGGGGGGGGCAAACTTGAGTTTACACCACCTCAGAAGGCTTATATATATATATATATATATATATATATATATATATATATATATATATATATATAATATGCAATATATAATTAGTAATTACTAATCATATCTCTGCTGTCTTGAGCAGATGAATTTTAAAGATTTCTTCCTAATAGATGTATTCTTATACAAAAATCTTAACGCTCATTGTTGCCCACCCTTAATTTGAACAAATTTGAATCTACAATACCTGAAGATGGTTCTATAATGATATGATTAATCATGGCTTTGCTGTTCTTGAGCAGAAGAGTTTTTCAAGATTATTCCTATAAATTCTTATATAAAACTTTGTCCCTCTGTTGTGCCCCCCATAACCCCTGGGGCCATAATTTGATCAAACGTGATTCTACAAGACTGTATAAATATGACTAATAATGGCTTAGTTGTTCTTTGGAAGAAGATTTTGAAGATGCACGTATTTCCTATATATTCCTATGTAAAACTTTGACTCACTGTTGTGGCCCAGTCCTACCCCCGGGGGTCATGATTTGAACAAATTTGAATTTACACTACCTGAGGATACTTCTCTATTAATATGACTAATAATGGCTTTAATAGCTGTTCTTGAGAAGAGAATATTTCCTATATATTCCTACTATGTAAAAACTCGACCCCTGTTGTGGCCCCGCCCTACTCCCGGGGGTTATGATATGTAAAAACTTGAATCTAGAGTATGTAATGAAGCTTTCACATAAGTTTCATCTTTTCTTGCCAAGTGGTTCTTGAGAAAATTTTTAAAAGATGCCACCAAATTTTCACGAATTCTTAATTATCTTCCTTTGAAAGAGGTCGTGGCACCTCCTGTGAACATACTTAAATCCCCTTCACTCAAGGATGCTTTGTGGCAAGTTTGGTTGAAATTGTTGTATTTTGTGTAACTTATAAAACAACTGTTACATTTAATTTATGGTAAATATATGAAAAAATTGACTTGTAGTGATAGTAAGCGTATGAATTGAAAAGCCGTCTTTCAAATGAAAATACATATCCTAACTTACACATGCAGGTTCCCCAAATGTACAAATATTAATTTTTTTCCCCTACATTTGATTTATTTGGCAAGTTTTGCTTGCAAAACAAAAACAATTCCAATATACAATTCTCTTCTGAGGAAAAGTCGTTAAAGTTTGTTTAAAGTATACGGTATATAATATCTGAAAACAACTGGATAGTTTCTATCACCGTAAGTTTAGAATAATAACAGACTCAATTAAGGTAATATGGGTCAAAATGCCTTGTTTGTAACCGAAACTATCCAAAACTCCCCGAGAAATAAAAAAAACCTTAACAGACACACATTACTGATTATTTGGTAAAATATTTTTTAGAGCAGAAGAGACGCTTTGGGCTTGTGAATATCAATAAAAGTACCCAAACACCATTGGAGACACTGCTTTACTGTAACGCTCAGGCGAGAAGTACGATTGATGATCCATTCCAAAGAAGATTTGAAAAAGGGTACATTGTCAAAACTTTGATACTTATGTCAAGTCTTAAAAGAGTTCTACGATGTCGGCTCATTGTACGCATTGGTTGAGGCAGGCCCGTAGCAACGTTTCAAAGTGGGGGCCGACTTCCCAAAAATATCTGACAAGCAAAAAAAAAAAAAAACCTAATTTACTGTCCAAATCATGGAATTTGCCTGTGCTCGAGCTTACAACATCAAAAAGTATATGTGTTTGTGTTTGGAAGAGGGGAAGGGGGGGGGGCAGCATCTAAAGGAAAATTTACTATAGTAAGAACTATACTCAGAAAAAAAGGGGGGGGGCTCCCCCCGCGTTCTACGGGCCTGGTTGAGGTAACAGTTTATATAATTATATACAGAAGCTCTTGTATTAAAAAAAAAGAAAAGATAAGGTGAGATTCTCTCTAAGGTACAAACTAATTTTAGTTACAAACTGCCGAAATAAAAACTGTAAAAAAAAACCACCCGCCGTGTGCTCCTTGTCATGATCGGGCAAAAGGAAAAAAAATCCCTAGAAATGTGAAGTTTCTTGTGAAAAAAGTACAAATTAAAACTGTTCGTAACTACGTGTATTTTTGTTTCTATGCTCCTTTGGTTTGACTCCGCCCCTCAACTAATCAGCTTTGAAAAGTTTGGCCAATAAGCGAGGGCATTAACGCAACGCCGATAGGAATGTTCATTGAAATAAGCGAAAAGAAACAGATCATCAGGTAATTTTAAATCACAGACGAAAGGAGCAGTCTTTTGATGCCTTACTTGAGTTCCGCATTTCTCTCGAGAATTGTCGCTTAGATATACAAAGTCTTAAAATATATAGATTCTGGATAGTACTAACAACTAGATGGTACTAACTCTGAGCTAACTACGTCCGATCGGCATTCGACTGTCAATCTGTCGCATATGGTCTGAAAACTTTTCAAAATTTCTATTTTCCATTCCAGGACTACAAGACGAAATATCAATGAAACTTGCGTAAAGTATCGTTGGATACTTTAAAGTATTGTTGGAAGTTTGTTCATAACAAATGAATTGGTCTACCTATTTTTTGAACAGTGCGAAATTGCAACAACAGCTTATTAGATAATTTGATAGATAAAAGCAAGTTCGAAAAAGTTGACCTGGAAACAAAGAGTCGACGCAGAAAATGGCAGTTCCAACAGGCCCATAGCAACGGTTTCAAAAGGGGGCAACTTCCCAAAAACCTGACAAGCAAAAAAAAAAAAAAAACCTAAGCTGACCAAAGGGGGGGGGGGGGGCTTCCCAAAATGATCTGACAAGCAACTAATTTACTGTACAAATCCTACAATTTGCCAGTACTCGACCTTACAACGTCAATAAGTGTGTGTGTGGAGGGGGGGGGGGCAGCATCTTAAGTAAAATTTACTATAGCAAAATACTATACTCAGAAAAAAGTGCCCCCCCCCCCCCCCCACAACAATACCCTAGAAGAAATGAAATTCATGTAGATGTTAAAACAAGTATTTAGAGAAGTGAGAAATTTAAAATCAGCAAATTTTTAAAAAATCAGTAACATCCAGGCCCGCAGGAAGCAATTTCAGTTGAGGGGGGGGGGGCACAACCAAAGATTTTCAGTTGGGGGGGACACTACCAAAAATTCCAATTCAACACAAAAATTCCTTGACAAGCAAAAAAAAAATTTTTTCTATAGTATTCTTTATATCGGCAAAACTCGGGGGAAAAAAAGAAAAAAAAACCACTCTACCACGTACATCTCTTTCATATTTGGATGTTTTACTGATTATAAATAATAACTAATTTATATGACAAACGAAATGACTTCAGCTTTTTCATCGTCAACTTTCCTTTTTTGTGTAGTAATATTCCTCTATCACCTCCATATTGTGTTAGTTACGTCTTTCAACTTATTTGATACTTAAGAGCATGTTCAGGGTCCGATTGATCAATTTTTAAACGAGGCTGGCTACTAATAGATACGTTGATGTTACAGGGATTTCAACAACCTGGTTAAAAGTCAGCATTTCGTAAATTCTATGGTCGTTATAATGACCTTGTTATCAAATATAATCTATCATTGGTTTGTATTTTGACTGACATTTTCAAACTAATTTTAGGCTTTTGCTTTATGTCAACTTTGACTACGGAATATTCTGTGTACCTGATCAATACATAAGGGCTCACGGCGGGTGTGACCGGTCAACAGGGGATGCTTACTACTCCTAGGCACTTGAACCCATCTCTGGAATTTCCAGGGTTCATGTTTTATGTCCTTTTCATAGATTTGTACTGTTTGTAGATATTTTTTTTGGATCGATCACTGTTCATTATCTTCCCCTTTTTCACTTCCTACACAAAAGACTTTGTAGCTAAGCATTGCATTTGAGCATATCCTCTGTTGTTAGAATTTAATATAAATAAAATTAATTAAATCTAGCAATGGCGTCACTACCTTTTCAAAGATTTTTACTCGGTTTTCAGACGCAGCGAACTGATCAATACGGATTATGACTACGCGTTAGGTCACCAAGGTGTTGCTCGTTCCATCAGTTCTCAGACTGAAAAATACTCATGTCCTGTCCGTCGTAGCCGACGACGCAAATCATCTCGAAAATCAAAAACATTTAGCGGCGCCCCTCCTCCTTGTGGGCGTCAGAGGTTATCAAGTCCCAGCTCTGATGGAATGGAGAGGATCAGCTACATCGACCCTGATTTGTGCAACACCTACCCTGATTTGTGCAACACCTGCCAGTCTGGTGAAGATGCTCTCAGCCCCGAATCTGAGCCATCCAGTGAAGCAGACAGCGACACGGAAAGTTCCGATTACGACAGTGACCCGCCAAAAATACTCATCGACAAAAAACTTATAGAATATGTGAGGAAACTCGAGAAAAAACACACAGTTTATATTGAAAAATACAAAACTCCAAAAAGTTCCCATCTTAAGTATTGTTCTAAACCAGTGTCTATGGAAGTCCCGCCGGTTGGACCCAGAAGACGCGCCAACACAGGTGTACTGAAACTTCTGGACAGGAGGAAGACGAACGTCGGGAAGACCTTCTCCATACCAGTCAATATCGAAACAGTGTCGTGTAGGCCGTGTCCTCACCGTCAGGCACCAAAGCCATGTCTCTCCGAGGTGGACTACCTTAAGATACTGTCCTAACATCCCACAACGCATACATTGTAGTAAGCGCATGCGCAATTGCTCATATTCATTTCAGCAGACTTGATTTCATGGGACCAATTGCAAATATTGGATGTGTATTTATTTTGAATGCAAAACTAACATCCTTTATGGAAATGAGGACATAAGTTGTGAGGAGTTGAGATTTTAATAATTTATTCTTATCTTCAGAATCATGTGTAAAATATTGTTGCCATAAAATTACGTACACTTGTAAACTGTTATTTATAAACTATAAACAAAGTTATGACTTTAGATTTTTTGATCTCAGAACAATAAAAATATGCGAGAAATAAAGAATGCAATTTAAAGGGCTTGACCTTTAAACTGGACCCACCACTCACCCTCCCAAGAAGAAGGTGGGAGAGGGGTTAAGATTCTGAAATGAAACAGTTTTGTTTTCCAACATTCATTGTGGGTTGAAATTCATTCAGCCATTTCAGAAAAGCATGAAAATATTCAAAAGGTTATACATGACAGATGGAGAAGTTCAGGATCCATTGGCATTAGGTCACCTGACCTGACTCAGGTCACCTGACTAAGATCACCTGACCTGACTCAGGTCACCTGACTAAGATGACCTAAAATGCTAATACTGTGTACTGCCTGTTCTATGACATGTATATTCCTATATTGTCTATGTCTGCAATGTGAAAAGACAGGACAGGAAACTTCATAAATTTGAAATATTCATTAATAATCACTTTTGACAGATTTCAGAGAATACAATCAAAAGATGATGTAACAAAAACCATACACAATTTTTATCTATCATTGAGTCACACGATATCTATGTATACATTACATAATAAACATTACATTGTCATTATCATGTTTTGTCAGCTTAAACAGGAAAATGAATTTCAGGAAATCTACACCAGGAAGCACAATAAAATGGTCAAACTACAGTGTTGTGATTTGGTACAAAAATAATAATTCTAAATCAGAAACATTCATCAAAACTATCATACGAATATATTCTGAAGTCATTGTGTACTATATATATCAAATCTACTTCATGTTATAACTTAATAGTAGAAAAATCTTACAGCAAAACACATGTTACGGACAGTATGTCATTGTTATTAATGATTAAAAATGCATTTAAAAAAACCCACATATAATACATATCTGGATAATCAATTAGGAAATATTTGTTGATTCATCACAATTGTTGAGGATTACAACACTATTATCAAAAGAGATGATTAGTTCCTGTAAAATCCAGGATCAATACTAGCCGGCCCTATACATTATCACTCTGTCTCATTATACACAGTCTGGATCACTTTACAGCTGAGCAGGTACTCCACTCTGTAAGGAAGAGTTCACAGCTACACTAATACATTTACAAAGAACATATTTCTAGAACATTGTAAGCATATGAATGTTGTATAGATGGATTATGGCACTGTACACATTTGTTTATTTTATAGATAAGTTATGACATTGAAGGTAAGTGACTATAGTTATTGTATAGATGGGTTATGATAGTGTAGGCATATGACTATTCTATACATGGGTTGTGACATTATCTATGACTATTTTATACATGGATTGTGATATTGTAGGCATATGACTATTTTATATATGGGTTGTAACATTATGACTATTTCATACATGGGTTATGACATTAACTATGACTGTTTTATACATGGGATATGATATTATGACTATTTCATACAAGGGTTAGGATATATTTGTTTGTGACTATTGTAAAGATAGGATATGAAGGTAATGTATATAGTTACGTGATTATTGTTTAGATGAGTTATGAGCTGTAGGTATATATACAGGTAACTACATGTATTTTGTAGATGGTGTATGAAATTGCAGGTACTGCATTAAGGTATTGTAGAGATACATTGTATCTGACATTTTGACGTTTAAGATACATGAATATTGTTTACATTGGTTTAAATGAATTTGTAACTTTCACACACTGTAGATTGGTTATGACATTGCAAGTGTTTGTGTCTTGTGACTATTGTATAAATGGGTTGTGAGGTGTACTATGACTATTGTATAAGTTGGTGATAACTTAGGACAGACCTTTGATTTCATCTGGGCCTTGAGTTTGTCGAGAACCTCCTGAATTCCACGGCCATATTCTGGATCTGCCTGGCTGAAATTCTTGATCACTCTCTTTTGCAGGAATTCTGAGGCATTGATAACATGATTAGCAATGTTTTCCACCAATCTCTGTCTCTCTGAAGGCTTCAGAACCTGTCACAATACAGAACCAATCACAGTAAAGAAAACAATTCAAAGAACCAATCACTTTAAAGAACCACGCCATGCATAGAACCAATCAAAAGTAAATAATCCATAGTGAATCAAGGAACCATACCAAACACATAACCAATCAGTTAAAAGAAACTTATAGAACCAATCATTCAAGATAACCACCTATGGTGTGATTTAGTGTTGTGATATGGTGTGATTTAGTGTTGTGATATGGTGTGATTTAGTGTTGTGATATGGTGTGATTTAGTGTTGTGATATGGTGTGATTTAGTGTTGTGATATGGTGTGATTTAGTGTTGTGGTATCGTGTGGTTTAGTGTTCGTGATATGGTGTGGTTTAGTGCTGTGATATGGTGTGGTTTAGTGATGTGATATGGTGTGGTTTAGTGCTGTGGTATGGTGTGGTTTAGTGCTGTGGTATGGTGTGGTCCAGTGTTGTGGTATGGTGTGGTTCAGTGTTTTGGTATAGTGTGCTTTTGTGGTATAGTATGGTATGATTTAGTGTTGTGATATGGTGTGATTTAGTTTTTTGATATGCTGCGTTACCTTTCTCCAGAAGACACCAACTTGGGAGAAGTTGTCCTCATCTGCTGTGTTGTAGCGTTTGACATCACCATTGATGGAAAACTCACTCTCTAATGAAGATGGATTATCCAAGGGCCCAGAGAAACTGTTGGGGAAGTAGTTTGGTGCACCACCTATAGGGGGTAGACATTACCTATGATTTTGTTTTTTAGGATATATATTACTATGATGGAATTTAAACTATTCAACACAATCATTTGATTTCAGATTTATACCTAATTAAATAAAACCAACTGCTTTGAAAAATTTACAAAGAAAAGATTTATAAAGAAACAAACAAACTGGAATTGGAACACAATATCAGTTATCATAATAATTTTATAACAAAAGAGAAACGCATGGTTGATATTTCCATCAAACATAACTATATTATATACATTAAATTACAATTAATTTCAAGGCTTCCTCAAAAGGACCAGAACTCTTTCGGTGTCCTGTGGCTTACCTTGATTGTGGTCCACACACTAAGGCCTGTCTCTCTGGTAATTCTTGGTCCTGTGGCTGTATTACCTTGATTGTGGTCCACACACTGAGCCCTGTCCCTCTGGTAGTTCTTGGTCCTGTGGCTGTATTACCTTGATTGTGGTCCACACACTGAGGCCTGTCTCTCTGGTAATTCTTGGTCTTGTGGCTGTATTACCTTGATTGTCATCCACACACTGAGGCACATCTCTCTGGTAATTCTTGGTCCTGTGGCTGTCTTACCTTTATTGTGGTCCACACACTGAGGCCTGTCTCTCTGGTAATTCTTGGTCCTGTGGCTGTCTTACCTTTATTGTGGTCCACACACTGAGGCCTGTCTCTCTGGTAATTCTTGGTCCTGTTGCTGTCTTACCTTTATTGTGGTTCACACACTGAGGCCTGTCTCTCTGGTAATTCTTGGTCCTGTGGCTGTATTACCTTGACTGTGGTCCACACACTGTGGCCTGTCCCTCTGGTAATTCTTGGTCCTGTAGCTGTCTTACCTTGACTGTGGTCCACACACTGTGGCCTGTCCCTCTGGTAATTCTTGGTCCTGTGGCTGTATTACCTTGACTGTGGTCCACACACTGTGGCCTGTCCCTCTGGTAATTCTTGGTCCTGTGGCTGTATTACCTTGACTGTGGTCCACACACTGTGGCCTGTCCCTCTGGTAATTCTTGGTCCTGTGGCTGTATTACCTTGATTATAGTCCACACACTGAGGCTTGTATCTCTGGTAATTCTTGGTCCTGTGGCTGTATTACCTTGATTGTCATCCACACACAGAGGCTTGTCTCTCTGGTAATTCTTGGTCCTGTGGCTGTATTACCTTGATTATCGTCCACACACTGAGGTCTGTCCCTCTGGTAATTCTTGGTCCTGTGGCTTACCTTGATTGTCGTCCACGCATTGAGGCCCATCCCTCTGGTAATTCTTGGTCCTGGCATTGAATGGACAGTTAACAGGTAACTGTAGGTAATTACTGCCAAGACGATGTCTGTGGGTGTCAGAGTAGGAAAATAGTCGACCCTAAACAAATGATATAAATAGTAGGATGTATTACTTACATGTATCTTCAATTGTTTGAATAAAAAATCAAGAATATATTATAGTTGTAAAAGAATTGATCATCTAAAAGCATACATTATAAACGGTCTTGAAACTTTTTAAGTAAATCTCCCTTTAGCATTTGTCTTGAGTGTTGGCCAATACATACCTGTAACATTTTGTCTGGACTGGCCTCCACTCCAGGTATCATGTGAGCTGGTGAAAAGGCAATCTGCTCCACTTCAGCAAAGTAGTTCTTTGGGTTTCTGTTCAAAACCATTCTTCCAACTGGAATCAAGGGGAATTCTCCTTGTGGCCAAATCTTAACACAACACATAAAATCAAATACAGTGAGGTTCCCGTAATCAGTTATCAAAAAATTGCTGTAGCCCTTTTCACTAAAATAACTTTCGATAAATATTCATCATAAGAGAAATCTTATGCTTTTGTTCCTTTTCACAAAAATTCTTATGAGATTCTTATGTGTAAAATTTATCGTAACTTTATGAGAACGTTAACCCTCATTTATGACAAAAACTACCTTGGTAAGGTCAAATGGATTGTATCTGAATTTTTCTGCCTCCTCAAAGGTCATGACCTGAATTTTGAGGGTCCATGAGGGGAAGTCTCCTTCACTGATGTGGTTGTAAAGGTCTCTGATGGCATAATCAGGATCATCTGTGGCCAGCTGTGCAGCTTTATCCGCCATCAGATTCTTAATGCCTTGGTCACACTACAAGATCAAATTATAAAAGTGTGAGGTCGATTTATGAATAAAAAACAAAGTTTGTTCAAAAGATTGGACTTATGTTCAGTAGGACTAAACAGCCACCTTCCAGTGGAATTTGCAGTAGACAGGGTTGCCTTGACTGTTGACAAGTTTGAATGTGTGACTTCCATATCCGTTCATCCTTCTGTAACCATCAGGCGTGCCTCTGTCGGAGAACAGGAAGGACACCTGGTGAGTCGTTTCCGGTCTCAGGGTGATGAAGTCCCAGAACATGTCAGGGTCCTGTAAGAAAAATGTTCATGTAAAGTATTTGTCTGTTAATATTTAAAGCTCTGAATTAACTGTTTTTTTTAAATGAGGAGGATTCAAAGAGAGATAACTCAGACCTTGAGATGTGTCTGTGGGTTCCTTTTCTGGGTGTGGATAAAGCTTGGGAACTGAAAATTAAACAAATTAAAATCTTAAGTATGTTGTGAAAACACATACATACAATTAAATACTTGTATAAAGACTTAAAATATAAATGCATGTGGGACTAAAGTATCCTTAAAATTACTCACTGTTGTGAAAGGAATGACATTACTTCAGAGGTACATGTATTGTAGTGAAAAATAACATGGTAAGAAAATTATATATGATATTTTCGAAGGATTTGTCATTTTTGTTTTAGATGCCATGCACATCTTACTAAATTCTAACACTTAACAGATCAAACTAAAAGTCTAAAAAAAAATTGCACATTTATTATAAAATCCATAAGAACATACATGTATTACTCATTTTATAATATCATTTCTTATTTTTGACTAATAATGTTATTTTGCTATTAATTAGGCCATAATTTCTTCCTTTTTTTGTTTGATATACTCTGACCCACATTTATCAAGGTGGGTAGGAAGGTACCACAGGCACCTGAATTACTTATTTATCTTTTAATAAAAAAAATATACCCCTTACCTAATTATTAGGTAGGGGGGTATATTTCTTTTTATTAAAAGAAAAATAAGTAACATCAGGTAAGTAGGTATTTATTTCTTTAATTATCTTAGACTAGAACACACTGATGATCATCTTTAAAATCAAAGGCTTAGAGTTTATTGATATTTTCTTTAAAATGTATACATGGGACAGCTAGACAGATTTAATATTTATTGCCGTAAAAACTTTCAATCTAAAGGGTGTTAAGAAAGTTCGTTCCGTGATTTACATTAGGCCTAAATTTATTCATAAACAACTCATGTGCAATTTTTTTTTTACTTTTAATAACCAGACAGTCCACCTTTGTTTCTCAGTACATTTTTAATTCTATTTGGCATTGAATGAATTAATGAAATCAAATGTTTCTGAGGTATTTCCTTCCATGCACGTTGAAGGTGGCGATGTAATTGGCCCATGGACGTTGGGCGCGGATCCTTGTAGGCCTCACTGTCAAGGATACTCCACAGATTTTCCATGCAATTTAGGTCTGGGGAATTGCCAGGCCATTCCTCTTTGGAAATAAAGTTTGGTAAATTATTTTTACTCTGTGAACACCAATTCTGTGTTACAAGGGCAGTGTGAGGTGTCGCCCCATCTTGAACAAGCGTAGCGTGTCCCGGATATTGAACCAACTTTTGTTCATCAATCGTGCCATTGTTTTTCTGTTGATTCAGTGCAGGTTTAAGTTCTTTTTGAAGAATTTTCTTCACATAATAATTTGCATTTATAGTTTCGCCGACTGGAACGATATGTACCTTGGACGAACCATGAACTCCCATTGCATCCCATATCATGACTTCAGAACATGAAACAAATATTTTGTAGATTCGTCACTAAAGATGTAGTTCTCCCAGTCTTCAGCCGTCAAATGCTTGTAATCATGAGCAAATTTCAATCTCTTCTGCCGTTGTGTCTTCGTCAGTAGTTGATTTCTTGATCGTTTAAATGCCTTCCATTTTTTTACCTTTCACAAATAATTAAATACTGTTACATGACTCACATTAAAGCCCGAGTTATTGAGTTCCTTGCTGGATTTTCTTGTTGATTTTCCTCTTTTGTATTTTATGTTGTCCACTTTTCTCTTTACTACACCTACTATCTTCGATGGTCGGCCAGATCTCGGTTGATCGGTTAGCTGTTTATTTTGCTCTCGCCTTCGTCTCCACTTTGTTACCCATCGCTCACTTTTACACAGTTGTTTAGCCACATCCTTCACACTTAATCCTGCATCTAATAAAGCCAAAGCTTGAGCTCATTTGTTGACAGTATCAACACTTGTACATGACGTCTGCTTTTTCACCGAACTCATCATTTTATTTGATGACGTAATAGACGTTTACAGGACTCTATAGTAACACTAGAGAGTGCATATAGGGAAGGATAACTGCTGTTATGATGAGCCATATTCTACAGTTTTACCAAAATAATGTTTTTATAGAAATATTGCTTTTATCAATTTATTTTATTTTTCAAAATTTACAAACAGAACGAACTTTCTTAACACCCTTTAAAAAGCATCTATGGGAAATGATAAACCTTAACTTTAAAAATATCAAGGACATTCTATATTTCCCTAAAAAAAAAATGAAATTTAAAGTGTTGAAAAAAAAAATGATTTGGTAAGGGTGGTTTTGAAAGGTCCTTCGGAATATATCAAACAAATCATTTTTTATTGCTAGCCTTAACTGACCAGCATGGGATCTCTGATGAAGAAGATGGGTGTGTTGTTTCCCACCAAATCCCAGTTTCCTTCCTCTGTGTACATCTTCACGGCAAATCCTCGAGGGTCACGAGCTGTGTCAGCTGATCCACTCTCTCCACCTAAATACCAGCACAAACACTGAATCAAAGTAGATACTCTCTTTAATTCTTTTTTATATTGAGCAAAACTCCGGAGTAATACTTGTAATTTATCTTGGCAATTCGTATTCACTTGCTTTAAAGTATTAATAAACTGTATGAAAGCTCACCAACAGTTGAGAATCTCACGGCCAGAGGAGTCTTCTTGCCAACAAATTCAAACGGTTTAGCTTTTGTGTACTTTGTTATGTCGTGGGTACACTCAAAGTATCCAAACGCTCCTATAAATAGAAAGGAAATAATCATGTTAAAGATCAATCAGGGCTCTTCAAAAGGCTCAACAGCTGTGATACAAATCAGCGCTATTTACAAATCCTGAACACTTAAGCTGAGAATTACATAACATGCCCCCTTTACAAATCCTGAACACTTAAGCTGAAAATTACATAACATGCCCCCTTTACAAATCCTGAACACTTAAGCTGAGAATTACATAACATGCCCCCTTTACAAATACTGAACACTTAAGCTGAAAATAACCTGCTCCTTTAGCATGAACCACTCTTTCTGGGATTCTTTCACGATTGAAGTGAGCCATTTCATCAGTAAAAACAAAGTCCTGGAGAAGAACGGGTCCCCTGGGCCCCACTGTCATGGTGGCTGTCTTAAGACCCACCGGGGCCCCTGTTCCTGTTGTCAAAACATCCTCCTTCTGCAATATACATTTGCATCATGCTTACATTTAATTATCCTGATGAATATTGACTATTACAAACGATGAAAAAATTTTTTTATAGATGTAAATATGCCCAATTGTTCCTGAAATAAATAAAAAACCTTCATAAATTTATACATTGTTTTGTTCTGTTTTGAACATATTTTATTGAATGAATCAAAAGGATCAGAAACAAGCTCTAACAACTTACTGGTTACTCTCTTTAAACATAACTACGTATGTCTGTTGTCGCAAGCCATGGGTTTTGTGTCCATTTTATTCATTTTATTTATTTTATTTCCACAGACCTGTCTACTAAAATTCTCTCATCCTCTTGAATGAATCACTGAATATTTAGGCCAAACAAAAAAATATGTGTGGTTCCGGTTACACCTCCAAAAAAGTTAGGGTAGGTAGGTAGGGATTTTTTTTTTTTTAACAAAATGATTTTCTTAATTATTCTAAATAATACTTATCACTACTTTGCAAATGACATTTAGATGTGGTGTGATAAAATACTAGTCAGTATTGGTAGGGGACACCTACATGCTAGCTTGCTTTGGATTTAACACTAATAAACACTTGCACTATGTTGTGCAAGGAGGCTTTGCTGAAACTAAAACTTAAACCAGAGCCATTGATGGAAATTGGGGAAAATTCCGGAAAAAATATGAAAATTGTCAAAAAAAGTTTAGGGTCGGGGGGTATAAAATAGGGACGGTCGGGTAACCGGAACCACACATATTTTTTTATTTGGCCTTATCAAGTGAGACCAGATTTATCTTCATTGGACAAAAAGTTTCTGACTTGATCCTGTTGATGTGTCAGATTATTATTCCATAAGTTGAATGGATATCATTAATATTTATAAGAACAAGAGAATCTTGTAGTAGACAGCCATGCGTCTGTGGAAACAGAATGGACACAAAACCTATGGTTTGCGAGGATTCATGCAGTATGTCATGCAAGATAATAAATAGATATGTAAATTTAACAAGTGATTTAAGTTAAAATTCTGTTCAATTTCATAGCAATTTAAAATCTACTGGCTTCATCAATAAATTTATCTGTTTATGGACAGCAGCAAAAATATCAGTAATAAATTAAATGACAACAATGCTATTTAATGCCTTTTTTCTTACATTTTCAAAAATAAGTTATCATTAATCAATACATTTAATTTAATCGAAATGGAAAATCAAGTGACATATCAAAGTTTAAAATGATCCATGCCACTAATCACGTCGACCAGCTTTGACCAGGTTCGATAACAGCACAAGGGAGATAATTAGGAAGACATGCAGGTGCCCTTTCACTTACTGTTTGGGTTTTCTTGAATTCTTTGAGCTGGTCTGAAGCTTTGTCACGTCCTGCCATCTTGTCAGTTGTGTAAAAGAGACGGTGCAGAAATCAAGGAGATATGACGAAGTCCAGGTGTAGCGTCCTATTTTATGTAACTCTGTTTACTGACAGAAAATGTGTCACAGGACGGGTCAGAGGTAAATTAAATCTTCTGTGTTGGGAGGCGAGAATGGCAAGTTGTTATGAAACTACTGTTAAGTTGTACAACAAATATTCGACTTTGTTTCGTTGAAGGAATTTATTTTTAGAGTAGCCTATAAACAGCAAACCTTACTGTTTATGTGGGGCATATTTTCACTGTCCTACTTTAGAAAAGCTATAAGGTTTAAGAAACTATATTTTCAAAAGAATGTCTCCACTCCAACATTGTTCTCCTATGCAAAGAGTGTTTTTTTTTATTGCGCAATATACAGCCTATTCAGTTACACTTTTAAAGAAATCATTTTGATATCATTCATCAAAACTAAAGCAAAACAGAAAGAAAATAAATTCCTTAAAGAAAATGATATTTTAAACGATTTTTTTTTTCAAATCGATGGGTAGGTGGACAACGTCATCGTGTATACATGTAATTTATGACACTGTAGTATGAAATATTGAAGCTGTTTAATTAAATTTGATATAAAAGAAACATTTAAAATAGATGTTATTGAAATTTCAAACCAAATTAAGGTATTCAATGTATAACGACCATATTTTGAACCTAATAAATGAATGGTCTGATATTTTTAATCATGGTAGCATATTGAAGATGTTATCAAATAAAAATGCTCCACCATAGAAAATTACAAAATTTTGATTATAGTCCAATTAATTGCACCTTCAATTTTACATTGAAGTCTGTAAGTCTATGGGCAGTGCATATGACATTAAGATATTGTAAAAAGTAATTTGAAATTCATACAAATCTCTTGGTGAAAATATGCACAAATTTTCTGTTTATTAAAATATGAAATAAAAGGAATCATTTACCACAGATATTTGAGAAAATAAAATTTTTCTTGTTTTCATCAAGGGCAGATAACTTTTCAAAAACGTTTAAGGTGCAAAATTGCCAGCTTCTTATATGTTATCAATCATGTGAATTTAGTTCATTTCATTTTCATCGTTATCTTGCAATAGATATTTAACTAGTTTTAAATGATTCAAATTGTTCAATATCCCTTCATTATACATTGAGTACCTTAAGTTAACTATCATAGGCACCTAACGCAGTCTCTAAGTTAGCTAAATCCTCAGTTCGATCTGAATTCAGTAATTGGAGAAAAGCTCACAAAAAAGTCATTGAATTCACAAAGTATAATGTTAATATACCCATGATATTTCTTCAAAGTTCATATTTACAGTTATTCATATGGGGAATATCATCAAACCTAACTATGTGCATTTTCTAATTGAAAAATAATCAACAAGTATATATTTGGGGTTAAAAAGAAACTATAGGCATCCAGGCATTCGGGGGAAAATGCATGTTTTTTTTTAATTATTTTTTTTATATACTTATGTGGCATCTTAGTTCTTCTGTTAACTTCAATTATAATACATGGTGTAAAAAAGCATGTGATATCATTGCAAGATATCACAGATCACTTCTAATTTCATTTCATTTCATACCTATTGGTATCTAATTAAAGCAAGATTTATGAAATTCCATTTCTCTAAAAATTAAACTTTTTATGGGGTGCAAATGAATACTTTATTTAAGATAATTTCTATAAGACTTTAACGAACCTTGAATCATATTAAGATACCTGAAAATAAAGTTAAAAATGTTGCACGAGAAGATTTCGATTTCAAGCTTCATTTGTAGTATAATTTAAGAGTATTGTTCCTTGATGAGGAGTGGATATATATATATATATATATAGATATATATATATATATATATATATATATATATATATATATATATATATATATATATATATATATATATATATATATATATATACTTTATAGTGTTATATACCGTAGAGATGTATACAATCTATTTAATAAAACTGGAATTGATGTCAGGTATCGGAATATAGGTATGATAGTGTCCTTTAAAAAAAAATTTGATATTTCTTGTGCAAAATTTGTACAATTTTGCATAAGAAATATAAATTTTTAGTAAAGGACAATTGTCTAGGAATTCATGCTTTCGTGTCTAATAAAAATTCTCAGAAGGGGGGGGGGGGCACCATCCTCTATACTAGCCTCCATCCTCTCCTCTTTACAAGATAAAAGAAAGCTATTTCGTATGTATTTTTATTTTTAATACTTATGCTTATATTCAAATATTAAATCAAGACAAAGTTATACAATAATATATATACATTACTGCATGTCCAGAATCTTTTTGCCATTTTATTTCTTTCATTTTTTTTCCAGCAAGTATACAGATTTATAACACAATTTCAAGGCAACCAAACCAAATGTAAATATAGAAAGGAAGGAATAAAATCTAATGCTGTATATTTTTTTATCAATGTCATGTTTGCGGGGTCCAATACAAAGGTTATACTCTTTCCTTGCTATGTACAGCATATATTTATGTCAGTAATACTAGGTATAATCAAATCTACAGAAGACTATGTATAATCCAATGTAGAAATGACTGTACAGGCCGGTGCATATACTCATAAATGTTCCATGAAAAATGACAAATTGGGTATTCGAATCACATGGTAATTTCTTCCATAAACATCGTTAATTATGGCACATAGTTATATTCACTTTAAAATATTCCTTGATTCTTTTCCGTCGTTCAAAAGTCAAACTCTCACAGTCTAACTCTCTGTAACCTTGACGCCGTTCTGTAAAAAAAAAAAAAGATAATTCATCACTGTAAACGATATTATGAAAGAAAAGAGATTTTTTTTTTGTTTTAATGAACAGTTTGAGTTTAAATCTAAAAGTATGTATCATTTACACATGCCAAGTGACAATGTGCGTGTATTTCGATCGTTGACTATAGTCCATGGATAAAGTTTGAATCAATGTTAAAAACAAAAACACATTTACATAAAAGTGTCTACCGGTATATAATGTCTATAAAAGTGTAAAATATAAATATTTATTTTTTTGTCCTCTATGCCAAATATCTTGTGCTGTAGTGTACATATATACCCTCATAAATTAAAAAAAATTAAACAGTTATTTTTTTTTTAAATAATTATAATTATCAAACCAATATAACATACCAGCACGACGTTGACTTTATTTTTCCCGCCTCTCATGGAATCCAGATACGCCTGTAGCTTTTTGCCAAACTCTGGATCCACCTGTCCAAAGTTCTTCACAGCGCGGTCCTGTAAGAATTGTTGTGCGTTGATCACATGGTTTCCGATGTTCTCAACAAGACGATCTCTTTCTTCTGGCTTCAGGACCTAAACATTTAGAAAGTATACCATATAGCTAAAGAATAATTACCTTTTGCAAAATATAATGTGATCTTGAATAGCTCAAAACCTTTTATCAAGCAAGTCCTTTGTACAAGCTTAACGAATAATTTCTGTAGTTGTCCAGATTTTTATGGTTTATGTTGCAAATTAAATAATTAAAAAAAAAATGAAGAAGAACATACTGTAAACCTCCATCTTCTATTTTACTTGTTTGACCGGAATCATAAAAATTTAAATGTATTATATTAGTAGAACCCTCCTACTTGAGGGATCTTTACGAACCTTGTTCCAGAAAATGTTAACCTGGGAGAAGTTATCCTCATCCGCCGAGTTATAACGCCTACACTCCCCAGAGACTGTGAAGGGGCACATCTCACAGCCCGCAGGGTCATCCTTAGGGCCGGAGAAACTGTTCGGGAAGTAGTTCGGAGCCCCGCCTACAACATCAATAAAATAAGGAATCTAATAATGATTTAAAGATTTCAACGAAATTATTTTCGATTAAAATGAGAGCTTTATGCTTTTTCGAGACTTAAACACTGTTAGCTGACCTTGGTTGTCCGTGACGCACTGCGGTCCGTCTCTCTGGTAGTTGAACGTTTTTGCCTTGTATGGACAGTTGACAGGGATCTGTAGGTAGTTGGCCCCCAGACGGTGGCGATGGGTGTCCGAATAAGAGAACAGACGTCCCTGCAGAAGGAAACATATTGAACATAAAATACAAGAGATGCAGCAATAGAAACGTCGCCCGCATGTTCTTGCATTCAATTTTGATATAGTAGCATAATGTGGTTAGAGCGTTTGCTCTGGGGTTGCGGTGTACGGAGTTGATCCTTACGTCGCAGGTTCGAATCCCACTGCGAGACGTAGAAACCGGTCCTTCGGATGAGACCGTATAAACCGAGGTCCCTCTCTGCTCAGTGCCCTGAGTGCCAAGTATAGGTCTAAATTTGTAGCCCTCCACCGGCAAGCGGTGGCGTCTCAATATGAGTAAAAAATTCTCGAAAGAGATGCTAAATAAACAAACAAACAAAAACAGTAGAAAGTAGAAACCAAAATCTTTGACGTTTCTCACGGAGAAAAATACAAGGCAACTTTTTTGCCGTTTTGCCGAAACTGAGCTGTGATACTTGAATTGTATAGTACATTTCTGAATTTGGAAATAAACCATTTTGCTCGAGTTGTTCCAAGACTGAAGTAATTTGTCGGCATTGCTTGAAGTCAAATGAAAGAAAAAATATATATATAATCATTCCTTAAATTTGAATAAAACAGTTTGTTGAGGAAATTTAGCAATGTATGATGATGCAAAGTTAGAAGTACATCATATACCTTAGAAATTAATTCATAAAAAGAAATAATTTATCGTGTAAAGTATTTGCTTTGTTTCTGAGCATTGCGTGAAGGATTTCTAACAAGACATTCTATGATACTGCTAGTTCCAGGAAATGTGTTGAAATGGAATAATTATTATTCAGATCAGATATATTGACTTTGTGCATGACCATATACAACTGCTGGTATTAATGCGCCGAGCTTCATATTTGATGAACAAGTCCTTGATACGCTTTCTGAACGTAATATGTATAGATGAACCAATACAATACTCATCAGGAACATGTAGGAGTAAATTAATCTGTGTTTCACAGTTGCAAACACAACTGTGTAAATAAACCTAGCTTATATAATCTATGGCTATAGGAAAAATTTTGAATGTTTTCGTGCTAGTGTACTGCACAACCAATCTTCTTTGTTTTAAAATTCCATATTTTTAAAAAAAGAATAATCGGCTACAGATATTTTGAAGTTCACTTAATATCAACCATATAACACAGTAAATCAATTCTCTCGCCAATCTGTCCTTTCACAATTACTCCATCTCAAGCCATCTTTTGAATAAAAGGGAAAGAAATTCTTGTTTACATAGATACAAGTAAAACAATTCTCTAGTTCTCTTTCCTTTCAAAACTCAGAGTTCAAATAAGAGAGAGTTGATCGCAAGATATATGTTTTATTTGAGCGAACCCATAAAAAGTTTGTTTGTCGGCCTTCTAATCTTGTTATTGTGACGAGAGAGAAAGGGGGAGGGAATTACATGCTACACACCTGTAACATTTTGTCTGGGCTGGCATCTATCCCCGGGATGAAGTGAGCAGGGGAGAAGGCGATCTGCTCCACGTCAGCAAAGTAGTTACCGGGGTTCTTGTTCAGAACCATCTTCCCAACCTCGATCAGCGGAAAGTCTTTCTGGGACCACACCTACAAGTATACAATAATAACGGGACTACATTTACAAGTATAGAATAATGGCACTACATTTACAAGTATACAATAATGGGGGCACACCTACAAGTATACAATAATAGGGGTACACCTACAAGTATACAATATTGGCACTACACCTTCTTGACTTACGACCTGCTTCAGATGAAAGTTTAGACCCAATTTCTAAATGAAACAAAATGAAACTTTACCTTTGTGACATCAAAAGGATTCCATTTATATTTCTCAGCCTGCTCAAAGGTCATGACCTGTATCTTGAGGGTCCAGGAGGGGAATTTCCCGTCCTCAATGTGGTCGTAAAGGTCCCGGATGGCGTAATCCGGGTCCTCAGCAGAGAGACGATGAGCTTCGTCTGCCATCAAGTTCTTGATGCCCTGGTCCGTCTATGAAAATAAAAATCTTAAAAGTGCCTGGCAGAAGATGGCGTAAGGCTACTTTTTAGTTCAATTCTGCTACCTTACTGTGACAGTCTTGTTTTAAGACTCTGCTGTAATGTTATAAAATACAGTTAACCAAGATAAATGCTTTCGCAATTCATGTTCAAGAATTTTGTAAAACATACACTTTAAATAAATTATGCATTTTTGTGAAATATTTAGTCCAATAGTGCAATTAAATGTAAATCATGTAATGTGTGTCGTGAACCTTAAAGTGGAATTTGCAGTAAACTGGTTCATTGTCCTTGTTGATCAGTTTGAATGTGTGACTTCCGTATCCGTTCATCCTTCTGTAACCGTCAGGCGTGCCTCTGTCGGAGAACAGGAAGGACACCTGGTGAGTGGTTTCCGGTCTCAGGGTGATGAAGTCCCAGAACATGTCAGGATCCTGTAATAAATTATTGTACATATGATGGTAAGAGTTCTCGTTTATGTGATCGACAAATGGGTGGTGGGTGGGCAGGGAGTATTTATTTATTTATTGATCTACCCTGTCCAAATTCTGGCTTCTTCCCTGGTGGAACTCTCTCCTTGAACATTTTCACCTAGTTCTTTTGCCCCCCCCCCCCCAACTGCCCCTATTTCTCTACACTAGTTACCGTTCAAAGCCGTAAAGGTTAACTTATTTCACACATGCAAATAGTGTAAGACATGAAGTAACGAAGTAATATAAAATGATACACTGTTATGGTTACCTTCAAGTGAGTGCGCGGGTTTCTCTTTTGCGTGTGAATGAAACTGGGAAACTACAAATGAAACAAAGTATGTTTAAACAAAGTCCGAAATATCTGACATTTTCCAGGCGTTTTTCACAATTTTGATATTTGACGTTCCTGGCACGTCAAATATCAAAATCGTGAAAAACGCCTGGAAAACGTCAGATATTTCGGACAAATAATTGTAAGGAAATGTAAGTTATTGTAGTATACTTGGTAGAGTATGTTTGAAAATGTTGCTCAGTATTATTTACCAAGATGGGGTCCCTTATGAAAAAGATGGGCGTGTTATTTCCCACCAGATCCCAGTTACCATCCTCGGTGTAAAATTTCACCGCGAACCCCCGCGGATCTCGGGCTGTGTCGGCGGATCCACTCTCGCCACCTACAGATAGGAAGATAAGGTATATATTATTTATAGTCAAGAGAATTGTCTAAATTATTCTGAAAGTTTAATGAGCAGGTATGGTAACATTTACACAGCTAGTCGGGGAGCGAGCTTTTTGATAAATTTTCTTTAAAGGATCGAATTTTCCGGTCCCAAAATGACTTATAATAAGAGAACCTTCCCCAACTCTTCCATACTTTGGCCCATTCGGCACTGGATAAAAAAAGTTCATAAACAGTATCAATTGTAAATATTTTCTCTGTTCATATTAATTATGAAAAACAATCTACAAAGATAATTCTCAGAAGAAATAAAAATTACATTAAACGACAATAAAGCACTTGTTTAAGACTGGGTTAACATCTTCTAAAATAAAACCACAGTGCATCATATATCACAAATGACAGGTATTTATTACACCTTATTTACCTGATAAAGGTTCAATGACATTTATTTAACGCCCTAACTAGTCTAGATATGGGACAATACGGAGAATTATTTTTGATGATACAATGTACATCGAATCATTGTTGAATTCTAAGAAATATACTCTTTTAGACCGTGCGTCTGTTTAAATCAACTGAGAAACAAAGAGGCCAGTTAATGAGTTTTGATGTAATTTAAGATTTATGATTATCCCAGAAGCTCTCTGGGTATTTGACACATGAATGTCTTAAAAATTCCCCTTAAGTTTCTGTGTTTAGAGATGTTGCCTCTATTCGCAATATGGTTTTAAGTAAAGGTCATGATCATCCCCGCAACTTCTAAATTTTATCATGCATCCCTCTTTTTAAAGTATATTATTCATCTTAACTTTTGGAGAAATGAAATTCATGGTCTCGAAAAGAATTTTATGCTTTTTCTCTCAATAACCTTGGATTTGTCCAACTGCCCAAGGTTACTGTGTCTGACGGACTCTCATGCATGTCTTAAGCAAACGCATAACGTATGCAATACAGTGTTTGATGTAACTGGAAGTTAAAGTTTCGTAATAAGTGTAAAGCAATGAAACAGTTTTTCCAAACCTCTTGATGTAAAAGAAGTACAATGTATTATTTTGGTAGATTTTCTTTACATTATGAACAGTTTTGATGTTGATGTGTAAACTAAAATGCACGAGCTTACCAACTGTAGAGAAGCGAACGCCCACTGGTGTCTTTTTGCCGACAGATTCAAATGGTTTAGCCTTTGTGTACTTGGTAATGTCATTGGTACATTCAAAGTAACCAAAAGCGCCTATAATCAAAACATAAAAAAATACAATGTTTTATTTATAATAAGTGATATTGTATATGACATCGGTAGGTCCTAATTATATTTCACTAATCAAAAGTAAAATTATTCCTTAATTGTTTCTCTTTCTTAACTTTTATGGGTTTACATGTATTTTCAAAAGTTAAATACATCAAAAAGACCCCTGACCTGCGCCCTTGGCGTGCACAACTCTTTCGGGAATTCTCTCCCTGTCGAAGTGCGCCATCTCGTCGTTGAAAACAAAGTCCTGGATGAGGACAGGTCCCTGGGGACCTACTGTCATGGTGGCTGTCTTTAGTCCAATAGGGGCACCTGTTCCCGTAGTGCATTGTTCTGGGGTCTGACGAGAGAAAAACAGAGATTTTGGGTCTGATGATGAAGAAACAGTTCTGGGGTCTGATAAAGAAGAGACAACAGTTTTGGGGTCTAAAAAAATAGTTCTCGGATCTGACGAAGAAAAAAGACAACAGATCTTTCTATAGGGTGGGCAAATTTGTCCTGGGTCTAACAAAGACAGACAACAGTTCTAGGGTCTGATAAAGGTTAAAAAACAACGGTTCTAGGGGGCGGAAAATGAAAAAAAAAGTTCTTGGTCTGACAAAGAAAAACAACAGTTCTGGGGTCTGACAAAGGAAACAATATTCCTGGGGTCTGACAAAGGAAAACAAGAGTTCTCGGGTTTCACAAAGAAAAAAAAAAGTTCTGGGGTCGGACAAATAAAAAACAAAAGTTCTGTTCGGGGTCTGACAAAAGAAAAACATCATTCTGGGGTCTGACAAAGAAAAATCAACCAAACAATTTAATGTAGAAATGGAATGGGTTGTAGTTGTATCAATACACCTACTTTAGTTGGTGCTTCAGAGTATTGTGAGAGCTTGAGTTGCTAAGAAAAGCACAATCATCTGAATCCGACTAAAGTAACTATAAAGTCTCTATACTTTATATAACAACATTTACCGCTTTCCTTCACTGACCTAAATGAAGAAAGAATCAGGGAATTACATGTCTTTATATTTTATAAGATTTTTTTCAAATTCGAAACCAATTAATGCAGGAATTTTGCATTTTCAACCCCTGTTTCAAAAATATGCAAACGTATAAATCCCAAGTCGAGCCTTACAAATTTACATTATGGGTGTTTTTTTTTTAAATTAAGGTTTTTCAATGAAAGCAGAATTTCACTCTTCACGTTAACGAAATACCTTGGTGTAAATGTTTTTAAATTTAGGGTGGATTTTACTAATAGAATTTCAACAAGTGTATTTTATATCCTATTGCAAATTTATGTAGAGCCTTATTGTAAGTACTTATGATTTAAAGAACTACTTGACAGTATTTGACATAGGAAAGGTTTGTCAAAACTCTCATTGCCATTTTTTTTACTGCACTAATATTTCAGAATCGTACAATGAGACGCAGTTCTGTGACCTGATTACTCGCGTGCATGCGTACTTACCTTCTGTGACGATTTAAACTCATTAAGTTGTTCAGCAGCCTTGTCTCTGGTGGCCATGGTGAATTATTTCTGAGTTACTGTAGTCTGAAACAATATAATGCACAGTAAGAGGAATATTAACACAGACAGACAGATAGACGTAGAATTTAGACCTATTTACATACACATGTGACCGGTTTTTTTCATATCTGAATAAGAATCGTCCGGTATGTTATCTGATAATGCAATACACTAACCTTAAGTCAGATGACATTTTTATTTTCAAGGCCAGCAGCATCAAGTTACACTGATTTTAAAAAGAGTGTTCTACTTTGATTTCGCAATGTGCTAGTACTAGTATTAAACATATTAAAGGCTTTAGTGCGATAAATTTTGTAAAAAATCATACTGGAAAGTTTCTCTTTTTTACAAAAATGATTGTATATTTTGGATATTTCCGTTTTCCCCCTTTTTCTATGTGTTAATGTCAAGTTTATGTTAAAATCATTAAGGCGACCTCGACTTCTAGTTGATTTGAGGGTACAGGCAAAGAATAAGACCCCGTTTGGTTATATAGAATACAATTCCATAATCTCAGTGGACTTGTATATGCAATCTGTTTCTTTTACATGCTGTATTACATGTATTTACGTATTTTAATTGCTGAGTCATTTTTTTCAATAATAAAAATTGCCATTCGATCCCAATTTCGCGTTATGGTTTGGGTCAAACAGAGCATTGCCTTATCATGTATCTGTCAAAACTGCTAGCTAGATCTACTATTAGAAGTAATACAATTTTGCTCGTTATTATTATTTTTTTTACATTCATGTAACCTTGAAAAACATTCCGAATTTTACTATGATTATACTAAAAAAAAAAAGATAAGGTAACAACAGCATTTTATAGAAGTTTAAATTTAAACCAGCCCACAATATAATAATAGAAATCTATATGAACTGTGACTGGAGGAATTATCCAAATTAATGGATATAGCAGCAGAAAATGAGGGTTTGATGTTTAGCATTGTTCTTATGACTTAATGTTGAATTACATTTATCGCTATTTTATTGAGGAATCGGAATTCTATCAGGAAAAACAAATAATCTTGGATATATTGTAAAACTTAAAACCAGCAGTCAAAACGAAAAAAAAATCGAGTTACAGTGTAAATATAATGATACCAAAGACGTCTTTATTTTTCTGCAATTAGACACCACAGTTACTCATTATTAAATTGATTACAAAGTATAAATTCCACATTTCATTTTTCAGTTATCAATATCGACATACAATCATTTAATTGTGGAGGACCCCCGAAAAAATTCAATTATTAATTCACAATACAGTTCAACAACTAAAAGGGGTGGAGAAGAGAGAGGGATGTCATTTAATGATCCGTCAATAATATAATCATATTTCATTGAGTGCTTTTTTCCATAAGACACGGTCAACTGAGAAAAGCTAAAGCTCCTGTACAATACTCGTACAACCCTGCGTAGTCGTAAAGAAAGCACACAATTGGATAATCTAGCAAATCCTTTTTCACAAATGTACAATTTTTATTTTGTCGGTGAGTACATGAATAATATTTCCTTATATATTCATTGGTAACAATAAAAACATGTATGGACACATTTTAATTACAATAGACTTTTGACCTGGGACAGTAGTAGATGTGTGACAATTAAACCTACTGAGTTCAGTGTCAGGATAAGAGACCACACCAGCTGTTGACTAGTGTAGGTGGAACTGATTATATAATGCAAGTCTGGCAAAATTGCGAAATTCGTTTTTATTTAGAAAGGAACACTATGGGACTCCCAAAATAAATGAATATCCATGTTTTGGGTTCTGCATCTAATTGATGTTATATATTTTCAGTGAGTAACGTCAACGTTATTTTGCAGCGCCCTACTAAAATGCTCATAAAATACTGAAAAAATGAGATATTTTCGAAAGTTGCGGATATTTGTATTCAGAACGAGTCAGGCTATCAAAATTTAACAAAAAGTCATTTGTGAAATTTTGACCTTAAAGGCCCTTTTCTCATGACGACAGTCATATATATATATATATATATATATATATATATATATATATATATATATATATATATATATATATATATATATATATCTGTGTGTGTGTGTGTGTGTGTGTGTGTGTGTGTGTGTGTGTTTATTCACCAATCAAGGGCCCTCAGGGGGCATATACAATTATTTCAGAATGATTACATATAAATAATATTAAAGTATATTGTAATATGAAAGAATATAAATCATAAAAAATGCAAAATGTCACATTTTATGTTTCTTCATATTTGAAATTATCAGACTTAAGTATGAAAAAATCTTAATTTTTAGAGAATGTAAGAAAACTTCAAGGTAATTGAAAAATCTAGACAAGACCTGCTTCGTGTAAACCTTAGGGCTAAAGTCAATTCAAATAACCTTTAAGGGACTTTCTTCTTGTATATATGTATGTGGACTTTCTTTTTAACGTATATATGTATAAGCTACTATCTGCAAGTTTGCCAAGCGTCTTACATCAGTTTGCGGATTATAGGAATCATTCCTGCAAATTATTGCTGAGAAATAAACACTTGTTTTGAGGTGGGAGTGAATAGGTCGCTGAAATCGATGTTACAAACTTTCATTCAACAATCTCTCATGAGCCTCGTTTGCTGATAGATTGCTCAATACAGACTTTTCAAAAATCAATCCCATCACCCCTCAGTTTTCTTCAACCAATCAGAAGTTTTCGCTGGTGATCTCCGTTTGATAAGATGGAAAGCATTTTGGGAAGATAAGCCCCTCATTTACGTAGTTGCCATTTCGAGCAAAATGCAATGAATACGCAAGTGGCTACAACCTTAGTAATTATAAAATTAAACAGAATTCCAAGAAAGAACGAGATCTTATGATATTAATCTAGAAGTTCAAAAAGAACGTCATTGAAGTTCGAATTTTTTTTACAAGTCAGACCCCTAATTTACACTTTTTAATTAGATCTAATTCTAATGTAACAATTTGAAAAAAAGAAAAAAAAATTAAAGGCACTTATAACCAAATAAATTTGTATTAAATTTTCTTACAAAAATCTTAGCATATTGCGTCATCATTGACGTAAGAATCAAAAGATTGTCCAACCAGTGTGACCTGTATTTTTATGGTCTCGAAAGGCGTTGTAGCCTTTTCTTCCACTGTTGACTGAGATTTACGCAAATGCTTCTAATGTGTTAATGTATCTATAATAACAGAAATTACTGTTTAATTTCTTCACAAGTTCATTATTTCATAACACCGAAATATATGGAATATGATTTCACCATTAATTTATAATAATTGTTTATTGTGTATGTTGTACACGGTATTACTGTGTCTGTAGTTTGTAGATAACAGGTGGAGAATGAAAAGTTTGTGCGATAAACAGGCCCTGTTAATTTTAAAACCCTATTAATTCTAAAACAAACTACGGAATAATCCTCCTTATGATATTTCAAACTCTGTTGAGACTATTGTAATCATCCATTCACAAAGCGTGACGTCTAATGCGGGTTTTAGTATTATATTTTACACGCAGTGCCCCTATACAGTTGTGTGTTTTTGTTAAAATACTGCATATTGCAAAGTGATTCAACACGTCAGTTGGAATTATATGTATCAATTATCAGTTTGGTTGACCTATGTATTTCCATTCTCCACGTATCAATAGGCTAATATTCATTGCTTTATCGTGACGTCACAGACGGAATGGACAAAACTGGGTTTGTGACAGTTAGCAGGCGTTTTTGGATGATGACGAAATAGAATTGGATCGGATGCGGCCTTTATAATTTCAGCAGCTGCGTCCCGCTAATCAGTGGAACTGTCTCAGATGGTGGAAGGTACTATAAATATTCATAAGGCGCTAAAAAGTAGACGACATTCAAACATTTGCATAAAATAGCTGTGGAATTTCCTGACAATCTGTATCTGAGTGTATTTATTGTGACTCTCGGTAGGATGGAATACAGTTGAAATCAAGATTTATCCAAATAAATCGGGAGAAATTTAAAAAAAAAAACCCAATTTTTAAAGAAAAAGCTTTTACTTTTTAAAAAAATTGGAAGAAACGGGGGAATCTACAGAAGCAAAGCTGGGGAACTGTATCGAAGCGTATAAAATTGCCATGCGCAATTCGTCCATTTGTGGACCGGATCTCGATAATCCGGAAGAAAAAAGAGACATGAGTAAAATGGAGCAGTTCCGGCAAAAACGAAGATGTAAAAGCATCCGGGCACCTACGGAGGCGGAAATCGCTAATCTAGAGGTAAGAATTAAAACTACTCTGTAATCACCTTATCGTTGATTTTGCTTCAGCAGCAGAGTATATCCAATTATTCCATTGTATGACATTTTGGCCAAATCGCGTAATGGATATCAATATACTCATTATCTACTTGAAAATTATTTCTTCATAAGAGAGTATGAGATATCAAAGTAAGATTGCCTTGCTTTAATATTCTACATTTGGACGTCAGTTAAAATAGTTTTTATGCTGAAAAATTAATATTCTTTTTTATTTCTTCTTCTTCTTTTTTTTTTTTTTTTTTGACGAAGATGATTCTTGTGTGATAAAAAGCACATATATTTTTCATTCTAAGCCCTATTGAAATCTGATGATCGTATCCGTAACCATTCCAACGTGTTAATTGTAGTACCAATAGCCTGTAGGTGTTCGCCTCAGAAACAATTATTTGTTTATTAATATTCTGTGTTAATTAGCCCATTATGACCAAATAAATTATGTATTTAATGCGCGATAAACGACAGTATATGTAATCTATGTATGGGATTTACATAAAATGTTTATCACATCTCCGGAGTATAAATGTCTACTATGGTCTGATGTGCCGCTTATATTGCAAAATCTAGTCGTTTCAAACGATTCCGACTGAAAGCAAAATCAAAGTATTGATATGTACATGTATACATGTACAGGTGTTGGTACGTTTTTGGGGCTCAGTTTGACATAAAAACTGAAAGTCAGTATTTCAAAAGTATTGCATTCTGAAGCATAAATTGCTACACTCTTTTGTGAAAATTGGTAACTTGTCAATTACTTTTGAATAAAGCACATATATACAATTAGAACTCTAAGGAAATGAAAAAAATGTTGAATTCCAAAGAATTTTATTGTCCCCAAAAGAATACTTTAGCTCTTAGGGATAAAAAAGATAACATAAGTTATTGGTGTTTACCTCAAAAAGAACTATAAATACAAAAACAAGCAAAAGATGATAAAATTTGACTTCATATATCGTTGGAAACAAAAGATGGAGCATCGCTTTTTCGGTAAATACGCGGAGCGAATACGTGTTTCAATAGTTAGAGACATGTTGCCGAATAATATTGCAATGTATATCTATTTCTAATTCCCTTAGATGCATTTGATTTTAAATAACATTGCAACAATCCATTTGAACAATTTTTTAAACAGAAATCTTGAAACTCAACTACCAATAGAACTGATCATGAAAAAAATATCATTATTGGTAATGTACAGATATACCTATGACCTTGAACAATGTACTTGTGTATGAGATCCGTTTTAGTCCTGCATAAACAGGAGACGTAGAGCTAGGATTTTTGTTTCTGTCTTGTCATAAATTAAGGCATTATGGCACACTTAAGGTACTTAGTAGACTGGTGCCATGTCTTAGATCAGCCCCACCCCACCCCCTTCCCACTCATCTAGCTATCCATTACCTGTTTCTGTAGAGTCAGTAACACACTGGGGGGGGGGGGGGGATTTCTGACAACTAAATTCACATAGTTTTCATTATGACTCCAGTCCACAGCCGTGTCTCACTTCAATTTTTTGATATTATGTGTAAAATCCTTTGGAAAAAATCACATATTTTAATATGCTTATGGGCGATTAGTCTGATAGAAAATTCCACTGACATTGATGTCTTTTGCAACTTATAAAGAAAATACGCAAGTTCATGACATCATAATTAGCATTTAGGAGGTCTTGTATATAAAAAAAAGATTTACATGATTTTACTGCATTGGAATTTGAGCAATTCAGAAAGAATGACCTTTAATATCTCTCAAGCTTTTCATATTTATAAAAGCACGGGGCCATATTTGTATTGAAAACATACTTCTAAAGCGTCATATGTAGCCTATAAATGCATGGCCGTAGGAACCGGGGGAGGGGGGGGGGCACGGGAGGGCCGTGCCCCCAATAATTTTGCTGATATATATAGAATACTGTAGAAACGGTAGCTACTATATATGCTTGTGCCTCCTCAATAATGTTATTCAACGTTTGATGACTTTTTTTTTGCTTCTCAAGGAATTTTGGTACTTGATAGTTCCCACAACTGAAAATGTATGGTTGTGCCCCCTGAGAGTGAAAATGCTTCCTACGGGCCTGAAATGTATGTGCTATTTATCATGTAAGAAGCGCCATACTATACTGATTTTTCTGAAATGTTTATAAATGTGATTATATGTATGTATTAAGCAAATAAAGACAAATAAATTAGTACTGGTATTAAATTATTACATTGTAAATCACTTATATTTCATTTGTTTATTCATAAAAAGAAACATTTCAAATGCAAATAATATAAATTTTTAATGAATAATATGCACTTTTATGCATTTGTAGATGTCTAACAAAAGAAAACTTTTAAGACACTCACTCCTACCCCACCACCCCCATTCCTATTTGAGCTTAGTTTTTTTTTTAATCATATATCGATCCTTTAATCTCGCCCCATTATTTTTGTGGAAATAATCCAAATTCATAACGTTGTCAGCGATCAGATAAAGGGGGGGGGGGGGGGGGTATGGTGTTATGTACTCTGAGCGTAACTATTTAAAATTAAATCTGTAATTGGGAACCTTTGATATATACAGTTTATGACTATTTCAAACTGGTTGTAATATGGAGAAAATTTACACTTTTGTACTGAAGCTATTAGGTCCGTCTATACTTGTTACTATGCAATTTGTCCATATTTGATCTTAATTCTACTAAGCGACCTACAGGTAAATTGATGTACATTATAATTCTTCAGTTTGGTCATTGCAGCTTATTCTCTCTTTAACCAATACGTGTTAATGGTTAACAATTTCCGTGTACGGACAAATTCGTGGAAATTTTTATTAAATCCGATGAATTATATTGTCATCGGCAAAATTCCGCTGTTATATTGAAAACATGGGTTCTCAAGTTGTTAAGAAATAAAAAGTCGTAACTAATTAACGGAAACTTTCTTTCGATTTTTTAAAATACAGCTTTAAGATGTGTACGAACAAGACAGGACGCAGTAGAGTGCTTAAGTGTTTTCAGTTCCTTCTGACATGTCATAAATTAAAACAAGTGGCGACAGAGATCATGTATAGACGCTAATTGACATAAAGAATTCTTACGATTGATATAGATAGAATGTTAATATACAATATGTACTTGTGTTTTCATTGTAATATATATATATATATATATATATATATATATATATATATATATATATATATATATATATATATATATATATATATATATATATATATATATATATATATATATATATTCCCCGTGATTAAAATCTCTCCTTTTGGACTGCATTTATAATGTTTTATTACTATGTTTATTACTTTTTTATGCTTTGATAAATATCTTGACGATGTACATGTAAAAGATAAGTTTTAAAATACACTGTTATGCAATCTGTTGTTAAATCTTTTTCAATTTTTCAAATGAATACAGACAATAGAGAATAATATAAACACTTGAAGGATGGAGCTTGAATTCTCTCCAAATTTTCCACGTTTATTTTCATCTCTGTTCGGACTTAATTGCAACCACAACCTTGTAGAAGACGAAAGTTATTACGAAACACTAGTATTTTAAATGACAGATGTAAACTCATGTGTATCAATTATATAATGACATACACTTCCATCTTAAGGCCAATCTTTCTTTACCCACAACATTTATTCCAAGAATTGTCCACTCTAATTCTCATTGTTTAAGTTCTATTGGTTTGTGGGTTAACGTTATCAAATATGACTTGCAAACTTTTCAAAACTGAGGAAAATTTCTGTAGTATTTGGGTGTTTTAAGGGAACTTAATTTTAAAAAGAATGTTGACTTCCTGAATGAAAGGTAAGGACGAATTTACCATATAGTCTGCTGATGAAGAAGTCCTTAAAGATGTGCAATGGTAGGCATTATATATATACATGTATTTGTTCAGCACTCTGATAATTAAACTGTACTACGAAAGTTCATCTAGGAAAAATAACATCAAAATAATTAAAATTTTGACAAATTAAAAAGGAATACTATAAACTAACTAATATTCGCGACATCTTTTATTCGCTATTCTTTAGTTAAGAATCCATCTGCGACCTACTAATTTTCGCGACTGAGGCAATATTCTACAAAGGGGAATAATTGGTACAATTTTCTCAAAATTACCATGCTTGTGGAGATTATGAGTACAGTTTGCCATGCCTGTGTTAATTATCAGTGCAGTTTACCATGTCTTTGAAAATTATCGGTAGGGTTTGCTATGACTGCGGGAAATATTCGTACTGTAAGGTTTGCCGTAACTGTATTAATTGTCGGCATGTATGGTTTTCAATGCCTGTGGTAATATCGATGCGGTTTGCCGTGTCTGTTTAAAAATATTGGTACTTTTTGCCGGGCCTTGGAAATTATCGTACAGTTTCCGTGCCTGCATGTGAAAATTATTGGCACGTTTGGCATTGCCTGAGCAATTTTTGGTACGATTTGCCATATGCATGCCTTTGGAAATTATTGATCAATTATGTTTGTAGCAAACATAATTGGTCAATAATTTCCAAAGGCATGCATATGGAAAATCGTTACCTGTGGTACCTATTTGCCTTGCCTGTGATAATTGCTACAGTTTTTCTACCCGTGGTAATTATTGGTACGGTTTGCAGTGTCTGTCTACATTGCAACACCCCCCCCCCCCCCTAGTATTGTTTTTAGTTATTAGTATAGTTTGCCCAAAACGGGTTTGACCTGTCCGTGTTAATATACTGATACGGTTTGTCCTACACTTCTGGTTATTATAAGTAAGATAAATGCGCGACCTGTATGCAAATTTTGTTGATTGTCAAAGAAATCGTAGTTGGAAATATGTACATGTATTATTATGTATTATGTACATGTATTATGTTCTCTTACTATTTGTATCTTTTCCTTCCTCATGTTTCTCCTCTCTACAATGTATGTCTGTACATTTAAGAGAATAAAGTCATTGCCATTGGTAATTTAATGGTACGGTTTGTCCAATTTTTGTTAATTATTGGTACGGTTAATCCTACTTGTGTAAAGTATTGGCACGGTTCGTCCTACTTGTGTTAGTTACTGTAATGGTAAGGTTTGTCCTACTTGAGTTAATTACTGGTACGGTTCGTCTTAGTTTTAGTACCTATGGTAATAATTGATTCGGTTTGTCTTAGTACTTGTGGTAATTATTAATGCGGTCGGAACGTTAACATCTACACCGATGTCCTTGACATTTCACTGATTTAACTTAGACTAACTCTGTAATTAATTTGTTCAGCCCAAACTGATTGTGAACTAAACAATTCAAAATACATACTTGTTAATTAAAGAATTTGAAACTAAATGCTTTATAAAAATTCTAAATCTAAATTATCAATTCAAGTTATCGCAAGATTTGTCTATGTTTCAGAATTTTTTTTTTAAGATTTAAGATCTACACTACCATGCAGGTTTTAGACTCTCTTATTTTAAATTAACCATGATTAATGTAAGAAACAATATTAACTTCGTCCACACTTTACCTGCATTTTAAAGATAACCTCACCATTTGAGGTAATTATCAAATACCGAAATCTCCTCAATATGTTAGAGGGTTACTTCGACGCGATGAACTCACACCTTTTTTTAAAATTATATTTTTATTTATTTTTTATTTGTTTCGTGAATCGTCATTGAAAATTCGATTTTTGTAATGGAAAAACTATTGAGATATTTTAAATTGAATGAAATGAACATATTGTCAACCGATTGTTTCAAAAATATCAAAACGTTCTTACCTGTGCTATGCTAAGAGCTTGTAATCAAATGACAGACGAGTTTGTTGTATTTAATACAAAACAAGACGTTCCTCTTACTAGGTGAAACAGCAAACTGACGGCAGTTTTGTCGAATACTTGAATCAGACCGTAAACTGGGCGAGAGACGTCTACTTATCTTTGTATATATATCTATACATATACATTGTACATAATGTATATATAGTCATAATTTACAACGTTTAACATAGCAGTATCCTTGTTTTATTTTTAAGACCTTTATAGACTGTATTGTCCGCGTACATCTGTACCAATCTGAGAACCTCTGAGTAATGTAGGGAAATGAGTTATCGTTAGAGTGTGTTGTATCTTCTTGTTAGTTATGTTATCTCACTGTAAAATGATTCAGTGTTATCCTAGTCTTGATTGAACTTGACTTAAGGTACTTTGTTGGTTTTAAGGACGAGAATTTCTTATATAATATGTAAAAAAAAAAAACAAAACAAAAAAAAAAAACATGATCTTTAAAGGATGGCATGATTAAACACTATCTACTTTAAAATGATCTAGAATTCATCATATTTCCCTGCAGATTTATTCACCACCAGGATAAAACTGAAATGTGGACCAATATCAGCCAGATTTATTTCTTCTGTCAATCATTACCTTTAATTTGTTTCTTCACTTTTTACCTTGACCTTAATTGTGACCTTGCCCTAATGCGTTAAAATCTTATTGTTTTACAGGAGAACCTGAAGCAGCTGGACGGAATTTTTAGTCCTTCCGGTATAGGGAAGACCACTTCCGTTGTGTTTACGCTTCAGAATAGAGTAGGGAATCTGGCAAACGCTCTTAAAATATTCCAAGTGAGAACTATTCAGAGACAAACAATTTTAACAATCCCTTATAGCTAGGGATAGCTGTGTTTTATGCAGATACAGATGCACAAGATCAAATAAACATAAAGATTTGACGCTAGACAATCTAAAATGTCTTAATTATGATGTTTAGGTAATAAGAATGACTGGAGCTTGTAATTTTTTTTACTAGGTAAACTGTTTAGCTAATGTAAAGGACAATGCAATTTTAAGCAAACTAATATGTGTAAATTACTGGAGGTGACATAAGGGGTGTTTCTTTGTAGGATAACCACATCAACGTGGTACATATAGAGTCCCGAAAATCCCAGAAGAACGAATCAGAAGCGGAAATTTACGTAGAGCTGGAGACGGACAACATCCGGTTACAGGAGCTTATCAAACGTCTGAAGAAGCAGGTGGCCGGAATTTCCTATAACGACATTCCTGTACCGCCATCTCCCGCCACCGCTGCTAGGGTGCCCGCCACAGGTAAGATATACTGGTAGAGAAGAATCCAGAGGTAACTAGGCCATATCATACTTATATTTAATGATTAGCCACATTCGTTTTACCAATGGCAAGTTAGATTTATTGGGGTCTCGTCACTAATAACTCATAGAAAAAGATTAGGAGAAATGTATCTCATTGGTTACTATCTCTTCTACTCTTCTCTACCTTGAAGTAAATTAATCAAAATATTTCAATAGCTGAAGCATTAGCCAGTGCGCCATGGTTTCCAAGGAAGATGTCAGACTTGGACAAAGCAGCCAATCGTGTGCTAATGTACGGCTCAGAGTTAGACGCCGATCATCCGGTAAGGCAGCAGATCAAACAAATGTGTTTTGACTTTCATTTATAGCTAAAACAATATGGAGCAAAGAACAATGTACATATTTAATTTAAGGGATTCAAAGACAAGATTTATCGTCAAAGAAGAAAGATTTTCGCTGACATTGCAATGGCTTATAAACAGTGAGTATGGTGATTAACAATGACATTTCTCTGACGTCATTTTTGGTGTCGTCTGCTGATGACAGAACACTTCCACGTGACAAAGTGACTATATTCACCTTTTGTCTGTAGTCTGAGAAATGCTAAGACCTCCTAATTGTATCTTTAATGCAGATATCAGAATGTGGAATTGATTCTTTTTGATTTCCCTGTACAATAATTTGGGGGGGGATTGCGATTCTAGGAAGCAGGCTTTCGGTCGATACAGGGTGCCCGAGCACGCTGTAGTCCTGTTGGTCGCTAGGTTAATACCCTGCTAAAAACTTATGTTTATTTATTGTCTCTAATAAGATTGGGCGCTAAGGAGAACGTGCCGATTCAAAGCATTGCTTTAGAAGAAAAGAAACGCACCTTGTTATGCAAAACAAGAAGATTCACAACTTAGACAGTTCAGAGGTTACTTTCATTATTTCCATTGACATTAAATGAATCCTTTCATGAATGAATTGCTTGGTTGTCCTTGAATCTTCAATAAGATTTGGCAAGCTTGTAGTTGTCTCTGATTGCATCTTATTTAGATTGATGACGATACTAGGAGTCATTGTTTTAAAGGTTATTTGGGCACAGTATGCAAACATCAGCATATAGCATACATTTACTAAGATTTGTTTCGGAATTGTTCTACCAAATTATCAAAATAATATGTGTTATAACTTACTTTTTTCATAGACTTCTTTTTTCTGCTTTTGTTTGATAGCAGTACATCAGTAATGGGTACATGTACATGTATAAAATGATATTCTAACCGGTCTCCTATGTCGAATACTGGAATAAGTAATCATACATGTACATGTGACGAGGTACAACAACGTACTTAAAATCATAGAGTTGATGTAAATGTATTTGTAAAATTCTTCTCTAAAACATTTTCTTGTAAATACTGTTTATTTACATGTATGTACATATTTATACATTCCTTTCTAACATTAGTCTCCGATTCATTTTATAGCGGACTGCCCATCCCACGAGTGGACTACACTCAAGAGGAAATTGACACGTGGTAATTATTCAGCATCTAGAAATGTCACCGAATGTGATTATGCATTTCCCACTACCTTAACAATATTAATAATTTCATAGTCACATCTTATCAGAAAAATTATTTTTGAAGTTTATCAAATGACTTGAATAAAAATGTAAAATTTACTCTATCCTTTTCAAGCGAATATTTGAATGGCATTTCAAATGGTACTATACAGTATTTTAAGAACAATGAAAAAAGATAAATTATTGAATAAACTTGCACTGTAGAACCCATAGCATTTATTTCTATATGATTAGAAATTCAACAACAGGGAGCATATACTCTTTTATATTGGTGTTTATTTCAAAAAGCTGGCAGATTCGCTGAGGGCCCTCGGACACCCTTTCACTGCATTCATATGCAAGATAGAATACAATTGAATGCATATATAAATTTCATGAAATATTTCCATCACTATATTTAGGGGTGTCGTGTTTCGAGAGTTGAACAAATTGTACCCCTCCCATGCATGCCGGGAGTACCTGAGGAACCTCCCCCTTCTGATTGACCACTGCGGGTACAGGTAAGGAAACCCCAGAATTAGAGGAGTAACGAAAGAATTTCTTAAACAAGGAACGATCGAGGAACAAACTCACGCAAGCTATACATAATTGCGTTGAATCTCATACAAATAGTATACAAGCAGTTCTCATATAGATTTCAAGCGGTCTTCAAAATTTGAGACTGTTTGAGAAAACATGCATCAATAGAAATACATGTATCTAATGTCCAATACTGGTTCCTGACCTGTACGGTTTTCCCGTACTGTAGTGGATAGTACATGTATATATATAAAGGTACATCTACCTTCACGGTTTTGTACGTTGGTTTTCATGCATAATCAGGTTATATTGCATTTTTTTTTTAAAATATGACGTGTAATTTTTGTGAAAAAAAGCATTCTGTGTTTTCTAGCTATAAACTAAAAATAAATTGATTCATGACAGGTTAAAATTTAATGGGAAAAGCCATGTAAAAAATATTGACTTTTTAAGGATAAAACAACTTTAAAAAAAATTACATGTACTAGACATCAACCTGATGAGATTACTTAGAGGGTAAATATTTTATTTTATTTTTCATTATATTGAAAAATATGTAAGCATGCACGTAACTATTTAAAAGCTCTGTGAAATAGACACTGATGTTATGCTTCGCTAACCTTTGTCACGTGCAGAGTACAAATTTTGAATGTATAATTTATATAGGAAACAAGGATGTGACCAAGTTTTACGCTTCGCTGAGTATTGTCACGTGCAGAAATTCCTATCAGAGCTCCCCTTGGTATTCCCAGATTAATATAAATTGTCAAAATATTCACAATCATCAAAGTGCAAATCATCGTGGCTCGTTTTAATATCATAAATATCACTATATGAATGCAAAAACAAACCTTATTTCTCTTTATACTTAGAAAACCTTTTTTTTTTACCATGACTCAACATGTTCAATGCACTTGAGTCTCATAAGCTGCTTCAAATATTTCATTTCATCAGAAAGACAGAAATTTAAAATTTTGCCATACTATTACAATTTAATATGATCTTACATTGTACAAATTGTTGCCATTTTATACAACTGCATAGATGGTTAACATTAAGTCCATACAGTACTTACATGTATATGTTCTTGCTTGCATACAAATATAGGAGTAAAAGATTGTTTTGTGTGTTTGTGTGAAGTTGTGTGTATATAACTCACAAATAATGACTGCTTAAGGACATATGATACAAACAAAAATGGATGCCTGCAGCTGGATTGGTATATATTATTTTGGACTTATTTTAGTTGTATATGAGTGAATATTAAATTTCTAAAATATTAAGAAATTGTAAACTTAATTTTATGATGTTTAATTAATTGTAAAATTCTACTTTTCTACCATCACCGTTATGAATCTATATCTTCATCACCTGCATACGGGGTAAATATCTCTCACTTGATTCGATACGCAAGAGTATGCTCTACGTATGTACAATTTCTAAAACGAGGTAAATTATTGACAAACAAGTTGATGAAACAAGAATATCAGCAGTTTCGTTTAAAGTCATCATTTCGTAAGTTCTATGGTCTATACAATGACCTTGTCAGCAAAAACAATTTATCATTGAGTCAAATGCTGACTGACGTTTTTCATACTAATTGTTAGGCCATTATTTACACACTGAATTGTCGACGGATTTTCCCGTGACCAGGAGCACACGGCGGGTGTGACCGGTCGGCAGGGGATGCTCACTCCTCCATGGCACCTTGTTTTGGAGGTCCGTGTTTGCTCTGCTCCTATTTTGTATTGTATAATGGACTTTTGAGCTTGAATACTGTTCGTTATCTCAGTATATTTCATTTAAGGACATTATTGTGACATTTGGAATGAAAAATTAAAATCTATACTGTTCACCTTGTTCATTTTAATTCTATATCAACATGACTAAAGATGTTATTTTCATGTTGTTTTTTTTTAAAAATAAGTTTGTTTGTATCACTGTCCTTAAGTTGTACTATATTAACAGTATGAGTATTATACACAGCTTTGGTTTTACTCTTGTAGAGATGATAATGTACCTCAGCTACAGGATGTGTCCGACTTCCTTAAAGGTAAACCTTATATCATTCTTGACATTTTCCCTCTACTTTCTAAAGCGCTGGTCGTAAAGTTCAAAGGCGCTTTAATGCAGGAGATATAGAAACGATGAAGGCTTTCCGTGTTTTCGTCTGTACAATCCTGGACAGAATTACACGAATTTCTTGTGTCAAACACGACAGAAACGAATTTGTGGAAATGTTCCCGACAAATCAGTTGTTTTATTATTAAGGTTCGCGTAAAGTTTTATTAAAAATGGACTGGATGATTTTTAAACAGTATGCACTAATTATAAGTTATCATTATCTGTTACAATACATTTCATTTTTGCAAATGGTAAAAGCATCAATAGAGAAGGTGTGTTACTATGATTGTTAAAGTAGAAAGTATTTTATATAGGAGAAAAAGTATAAAACTAAGTATATAGTTTTAATTAAAGGATATCACTTCTCACACAACATGGCTATAGTTAAGTGGTTAATGTTTTAACGTTTTTATTCACCGCTATTTCTTGATATTTGCGTTCGATTAGAGTACTAGTATACGAAAACTGACAATTCATTCACTGCTAACACTAATAGATAATAATCTTAATTTCCTTATTAATCACATTAAGTCTGTAAAACAAGTATAAATCAGTGACATAAATTCAACAGCATACAAGAGTGTCGCCCAGTACAAATGAAGGGGTAGTTAAGGATTTTAGTTCATATGAAGTGGTTTGTTTATTAGGACCAAATTTGCTTTGTCTTCTTTGAATTGAACACAAGAATTCAAAAGAACACCACTTATGCACACCAGGGTTGCCAATTCTGATTGATACCGACGGCGACACAATTGCTAACCAAGTCAGAGTTGATCGCCAATATTACAAGTATACTGTATAATTAATTATGAACTTTAGGTCATCGTATTTTGTTGCTTATTGAGATATGTTTGACTGCTGGGTTAGATATTGGACCTGTCCGTTAGATGTTGGACCGCTATGACATGTATTAGGTCACATTATAGGCGGGTCAGTTATATGCATTATTTGCATTCATTGGGGTTTAATATTATAAAAACACATTTATTGACTGTGTTCTCGGGCAACATACTTTTTGCCGAACCCTTGAACCAAACTGTTTTAACGGCCTCAGGCAAAAAGTTTGGTTCTTGGGACCGACAAAACGCTCGTCTTCCTCGAACCCAGTCAATAAATGTATATGATTATACCCTTATAAAAAACTTTCTATATATTTATTATCAAAACAAAACTTTTTCGCCTCGGTCCAACAATTATGATGTTGACCGTTCTATCAGTCTAAGATAAGAACTTTTAGACGGCAACGTCACGTCTACGTCACGAGTACATGTAATTAGAAGTTCAATATCGGCGAAATAGCCAAAGTTAGATGCAAGATTGCAACAAATTATGTTGTAGAATAATTTTATTATTTTTTCATTCATTCTTATTGTTTCATTTTTATTGAAAAGCCAAAATATTGCGTAGAAAGTTCCTGTTTATATATTGATTAAATCTGTTCAAACACTCTAGTATTCTAATATTATGCATGGATCTTAAGGACAGATGATACCAAAAAAATGGGTGCATTGATATATATTTTTGACCCATTTTGGTTGCAAATGATGTAAGTACACTGTATTAAATTTATATAATATAAAGAAATTGTAAACTTTCAATGATGTTCAAAATCCTAACTCTTTGCCTCAACCTTATAAATCTTTACAACTTTTTATCACTTTGTAGAATGTTATTGTGAAACCTTGAATGAAAAATTAATTAAAAATATTTGCGGTTAGAATTAATCATTTTACTTATGTAAATATGGTTTAATTGTTATTTTCATGATTTTTGAAAGAAAAAAAAAATGTTTGTATCATCTGCTCTTAAGTGTGTAACAAAACAGTTATAAGACTGGGATTCGAGGCAGTAGGCCAAGGGCAACATTTTCAATTCAGGTCCAGCAAATCATATGTTGCCCTCATACCCATTCAATAACTGTATACCGTATTTGTTGAAGAGAGAACCGGTTTCCAACTTCGTCCAGTGGCAGGATACCTCTCATCACGTGACTTTTTGGCGGGATTAGCTTTCCGCGTGTTCCACTGCACACAATACATTCGCCATAGCTCGGATCCTTTCTACACTCCCGAGCCGTGAGTAACAGTGTATCTTATTAAGGAAAATTATTTCATATACTAACATCGATATTCTCTCGAAGTTTATAATACAAATATATACGTTAATTCATCACAGCATCAATTTCATGATACCTGACCTGTTAAATGGATAAGCCCAGTCAATATAGAAATCGTACAAAAAAGGTGAATAAAGCTGTCAATGTCACCTATAAATTAATAGTTTATATATTTGAATGATACGGATTCAATTACAGAAAAAAGTGTCCAAAAGCCTTTCCACTAAATTTTTGAGTTAAAATAAATTATGGTAACACATACATATATTATTTAGAAAAATATCCTTGTATCTGAATACAGGTACCTTGGAGTCTTGTTATGTATAGAGTTAGTAACATTTTAAGATTTACTTTTAAGGTTATGGGTTTTTTCTATAATTTTAAGCTCTTTTCCCCTCCACGAAACCTTGTTATTTTTTTTTCTGGGAATGTTCTAAAATTAAATAAAACAATACCTAAACTATCATCTCTCAAGTCTCTGTAACTTTGGAAATAGAAGAGTCCTATATTTTCCAGTGACTGCTGCCATGAGTTGTTGGGACATATGCCACTGTTGGCGGATCCAAGTTTTGCACAGTTTTCACAGGAACTTGGATTGGCATCCCTTGGTGCTTCTGACGAGGAAGTCCAGAAATTGGCAACGGTATTTTTTCTAAACCTATCTAACTGCTTATTGTCAAATATTCAGATTAATCCATTCAAGGGAGATATATTTTCTATTCGATTCTTTTAATTTCAGTGCTATTTCTTTACCGTCGAATTCGGCCTTTGTAAACAGGACGGGCACCTTCGGGCTTATGGCGCTGGTCTGTTGTCATCTATAGGAGAACTTAGCGTATGTTCCACTTAGCAGAGTTTTCAAAACAAGGAAATTTGCCATCAAATAAAATACATATTGTATATATTATACACTTTCCTTTCAGTGGCTTTAATAGGAAAGCCTTTTAGTAACAAGTACAAAAAAAAAAATCACGCCTTGCTCTCTTAAATTGTAATAACGAGAAAATTATCTCGTAATTAGAAGAAAATATCTCGTAATTAGAAGAAAAGATCTCGTAATTATGAGGAAATTATCTCATTATTACGAGAAAAGATCTCGCAATAACTAAAAAATTATCTCCTAATAATGAGAAAAGATTCTCTTTATTACGAGAAAAATTGTGTATGTAAAACTGAGTTGCATAAACTATGAATAGTCTTGTAAGTTTTTTCTTAAAATGCCAAGAGAATAATTTTATCAAAGCGTGTTATCGCTTAGAATTTCAAAAACAAAAACTTCTGCAGATTTTAGCATATTCAGAGAATACAGAATATTTTTTCCTTAGATAACGAACCATGAAGAATGAATATGAAGGAGGTCAGGGGCAGATGAAAGAGTTCAGTCGGTGTGGGGGACGTTGAATTGGGGGGGGGGGCGGTAAATTCTTAAAAGTACATTTATCATGGACCTTTATTAGGTTCAATGGGTCCAGGTTTAGACGCCTCCCGAAGTCCTTTCGTTCTTTAAAAAGTACATGTATTGCAAAATTTAGCATAGTAGAGCAGTGGTCGTATTTGATACACACTTATGTGAATTAAATGTTTAAATCATGGCCTGTGTTATATACATTGAAATATATATATATATATATATATATATATATATATATATATATATTTACATCGAGTCCAACTGCACCCTATTATTAGCATACCTATTTTTGTATTCATATGAAGCAGAATTTATTCAAAATCTTGTACATGAGAAGAAAACACTTGCTGTGGCCTTCAACTCGACATTTAGATATATCGACGACGACGTATTACCAATTAACAATAGTTACTTCCATTCATATGTCGACTCGACATATCCCAGCGAGCTTTAAATAAAAGATACCACAGAGTCTGACACGTCTGTTTCATATTTGGATAATTTACTAGAAAAAGACATTAATGGTAACCTAACAACAAAACTTTATGATAAACGCGATGACTTCAACTTTTCTATCGTCATCTTCACTTATACTCTTAATATCACCTGCATATGGAGTTTATGTTTTCCAAGTTAATTCGATACGCAGGAGCATGCTATACGTACGAACAATTTCTAAAACAAGGCAAGCTATTGACAAACAAGATGATGAATCAAGGATATCAATAGTCTAGTTTAAAGTCAGCATATTGCAAGTTCTTTGGTCGATACAATGACCTTGTCAGCAAATACAATGTATCATTAAGTCGATTGCTGGCTGACGTTTTTCATATTTCTCATACTAAGTTAGGCCATTATTTACACTGAATTGTATACGGATTTTTCCATTTGCCCGAACATGACCAGGAGCACACGGCAGGTGTGTCCGGTCGACAGGGGGATGCTTACTCCTCCATGGCACCTGATCCCACTTCTGATCTTTTTAGAGGTCCATATTTGCTTTGCTCCAGATTTGTATTTTCAGTGGACTTTTGACCTTTATTACTGTTCGTTATCTCCATATTTCACTGAAAGATAGAGATACCCTAAATTTTCGCCCTTTTAAAATAAGTGAGATAAGGTCCTCATTATTAACTATATTTACGTCACAAGTAATGACATGTCCAGCAGGACATATAGTTGTAGGGTGAAAAAGAACATGATTATATCTTACATGTTCGATATCTAGGGACTGTAGAGTTTTTTTTAATTAAAAGGTTTGGCAGGAATAGTCGATGATTGAATATTTTTAAAGAAAAACAAGGTGTGTCAACTTGAAGTATGGTGAAATAGAAGACAGTACCCTTTTGTGATTAAGAATATTACTAATATTTACTGCGTCAATTCCTTTGTAGGCAATTGAAGATTAAAGGTGCATAGACACAGATTTGAAGTTTATATTTTCTCAAATTTTCTGTATAATATCACAGCTTATATGTTGCTATAGTATTTCACACGAAAATAAAATTAAAAACTTATTTAATCTGGAAATTATTGAAACTACGAATTTCGGGAGGCGTTTGATTAACACATCCTTGCACTTTCACAATGTTTAACTTTATCCTTAATACTTAAGAAAAGTAGCAATGTTCTTGTGTATTAATTAATAATATTACATCTATAATCCAGAAAATTCAGAGTAAAAATGTGCGAAAGCAAAACCCACTCACTTAAGTGTTGTCAGCCCGTGCTCAATGTTGTGTAGTTGTGTACAGAGTTTAAACAAATTGAATATACCCGTGAAACTTAAACTGTTTTTGTAAACAGGGCATGAGCTCTGTTGTTGTTAATGTTTACGTTTCACCGGGTGTGTTCAATTGTTAAACTCTGCACACACCACTGAGCACGGACTGACAATACTGGAGAGAGGATTTTGCCTTTTACATTTCTACTCTGAAATTTCTGCATTATAGTCTTAAAATTTTTCATTAATAAACAACAAAATTGCTACTTTTCTAAAGTAATAAGGATAAAGTTAAACTTCGTGAAAGTGCAAGGATGTGTTAATCAAACGCGTCCAGAAATTCGAAGTTTCAATAATTTCCAGATAAAATAAGATTTTTATCAAATTTTCGTATGAAATGCCATAGCAACATATAAGTCATGAAATTAAACAGAAAATTTGAGTAAATATTAACTTCAAATCTGTGTCTAAGCACCTTTAAGGAACATACGGGTTGCTTGAGCAGTACTCTATTCCGTAAAACATGGCGGTTTAAAAAGCCTATGATTTGTAATGTCCATAATCACAGATCCGGACCTGTATAAACGTGTCGAAGAATCCAAATATAGACTTTCCTTTGCCTTTTTAAAAAGACCATTTAAAACTTTCAAATGGACAGAGTAAAGTTTGGTGCAAATGAGATTAAGACCTATCCTTTTATTTACATAAGGTAGTAATGAATCAAAAGAAACCTCCATGATCCATATTATTATCCATACATTATCTCGAAATAATTTTCTCGTATATTTACGAGATATTTTCTCGTAGTAACGAGTTCTACTTATCTCGTTAATACGAGATCTTTTCTTGAGATAATTTTCTCGTTATTAAGAGATCTTTTCTAGGAATTACGAGATGGTGAGAACGTAAATTTATATTTTTTTTAACCTGATACTAGATTGATGTGACGCTTTCATTTTGTAGCATGCATTGACAGAGAAAGCCCGGAAGATCCCTTTTGAGCCGATGCGCACTTGTCACCAGGAGTGTCTCATTACCACTTTCCAAGATGTCTACTTCTTCACAGAGTCATTTGAGGAGGCAAAGGAAAGAATGAGGTAAAAACAATAATTACTAAAGCAAATGCATGAAGCAATACCCTTAGGCTAGTAAATAAAATGTTAATAATTTTTTGGAATATCATTCACAGACAATTTGCCTGCACCATTAAAAGACCCTTTGCGGTGCGCTACAATCCATACACACAAACTGTTGACGTATTAAACAACACCCGTTGTATTGCGTACGCCGTAAGCGATCTACGTGGTGATTTGTGTATCGTCAGTGACGCATTGCGTCGTCTTCAACAACTCGAGTTTCAGAAAGAAGACGAGGAACGAATGGAACCCTCTACCCCAAGATAACACAACTCAACTCTATTGTATAGGTCTAAATACTATAAATCTTTGATAACAGCGCCCAACTCCGTTGTCTATGTCTAAATGCTATAAATCATTATTTTTTGCAGCAACTAGTTATGAGCATGACTTAACAATGTATAAAGTGTATTGTTACTAGTAAGATTTTTTTCTTGCATAGCATAATTAGGAGGTAGTACAGGTATATCTATTTATGGCATGAAACCTGGTGAAAATATCTGTTGAAAATTCATTTTAGTCAAATTCTATAATTCCGTGAAAATCGTTAATTGAATAAATGAACAAAAGAGAATTTGCTTGAACTCTTTCAAGCGTGAGACAAACTATGAACACATCCTTATAAATGTTATACTAGTGCCTGTAAACTATCGTAGATTTTTGCCGCTCCCAGGTTGCATTTCCTTAAACGTGACATTGTGGTTTTCGTCTGCGTCCTCGACAGACCATGATAACAGGAAATGGACATGAAAGGAGTCTAGCTAAACCGAAATTGTTGGCTAAGTTTTGTGAAATACTGAAGTATTGCTATGTTTTATTTTCAAAAGAAATTCCAATATGTTTATGCTATTATTGTACAGAGAATTACACGTAGAAGGTTTTAAACAACATAATATAGAAAATATTGAAATATATAAGGATTTTAATCATTACATGTTACAAAGAGTGTACAAAATGGAGATAAATCCAAAAACAGATTCTTGATTCCAATATTAAATTTTGTAAACACTTGATGTTTAATTTCCTGAGAGAAAGAAGAATTCATCCCAATATTATGTATTTGTCCTGTACATTCTTTCTCTTGTCTATGTTGTAAGTAAATATGTTCCAGTACACAAATTTGTCATTAATTTTACAATTATTGTTAAAATGTTACAATAATGACACATTTTATTAATTAAGTATGCTATTTGCCTGTTGTGTTTTATTGCTGGACAATAAATTATAGAAAATGTTAATTCTTCAAGTATATATTGGTTTATGATTACAAAGAACAGTGTTGCTATGCTTACTTTTAGTGGGCTGGGTATTGGCTAGAGATTTCGTATTGCGATATATTGCGATATTTTTAACTGTCTTGAGATATGTATTGCAATATCTTCAGCAAAAAATTAAATGGTATTTTCTTATTATATTATATACATGTAGAATGTACGTAACTATGATAAATAACCAATAAAAGATATCTTGTTGATTGAACTACAGTTATGCACCCATACAGCAGCTTTTGTCTTACTGTTTGGCATGATCACAAACCTTTCTGACAACTTTTCTTTATACGTTATGATAGAATTCCTGAGTTCAAGCATTTTGTCGGTATATCGATATTACAAAAACGTATTGCAATAAGATATTTTTTGCCAACATACTGCAATATACCGAAATATCTGTATCATTGTCCAGTCCTAACTTATACATACACGTATAACTTTCTTTGAAATTTTTTCTAAATTACTCTACTCCTTCTACGGTATTGGCTCTACTAAAATTGGACACACAGATAGCATAAACAACTTTCAATTTAATTACTTTTTTCCTCCATTCGATGAAAGTGATTTTGATTTACCGCACCTATACTGGATTCCAAAGCCTCATAAAATTCCTTACAAAGATACATATCAGGGTCCAGAAAATGTTCTACCAAGACTTGGTCTTTTCTCCACAAAAAAAATATTAACTGCTATGAAGAAACTACAGATGTACTGTGCTAAAACTTAGTCAAAAAGTGTTGTTTATCAAAGGCAGGTTCTCAAAAAACTCAAAAGAACTTTTAGAAAATTTGAAATCACCCCCCCCCCCCCAAAAAAAAAAAAATCAATAGCATCAAAACGTATGACTGTTCAATGCTTCATATCTTGCGATTAGTCAACCACAAATTATCTGGTTAAAATCTATTAACAAGTACTCTGAAATTCATGTTAAGAGGTTGCTGGAGATCTTCATTGACAATATCTTCAACTAAAGTAAAACTACATCTATATGACAAACGTGATGACTTCAGCTTTAAATTGTCAACTTTCCCTCTTTATGTAATAACTTTCCAGTGTCACCTGCTTACGGTTTTTTTTTGTATCCCAACTGACTCAAGATACAAGAACAAGATCTAAGTACGATATATTTTTAATAAGGGAAGGCTACTGACAGATAAGTTGATGTTGTAGGACTTCAACAATCTCGTTTAAAGTCACCATTTAGCAATCATGTGGTCGTTATATTGACATCATTTGGAATTAAAATCTATCGTTGGGTTGTATTTTGACAAGCATTTTTTATCAATTGTAGACCATTGTTTTATACTTATTTTGACTACAAGTTACTCCGTACTTATAAATACGAGGACTCAAGGCGTTTTTGACCGGTTGATAAGGGATGCTTACTCCTCCATAGCGCCTGATCCCGCCTCTGGTGTTTTCAGGGGTCCGTGTTTTTTGTCCTGTTTATTTTTAAGAATTTCTGAGATCAATCACCGTTCTTTGTCTTCACCCTTTTCATTACAGTATTGCGTCACCAACAAAGGCGGATTTAAAATGGAGTTTTTTTCCACCAGACTTTTAAGTATTTAGTGCTACTATACCCCAGTCACAATTTTGGGCATTTAGTTTTACTTGAGAAAAAAATGTTACAGCATATAGAGTGTTTGTCTACAATACGGACGTTTTTTCCCTCATACAGTTTGATTAAAATGATTCAGCTGATGAAAATAAACATGTGTGTTTCTTTTATTTATTGGATATGAACTTCCTTAAAAAATATGTATCGTGGAAATGACTATTTTCGAAGAAGGGAAACTTTTTTTTTATTTCGCAAGATAGATATAGCTATTTTTGTTAACGACTCGGTATTTGTCTTAAAACGTCTTGAAAATTTGAACTCAATTATACCATTTTCTAAACATCTTGAGCCTGCCCTTCGGTTAGACACTTAGTAGAGTAATCATTTTATAAATTATTTTATATTATTATATATATTTCTATTATTATATAAATTTTATAAATGAGAAAATAAAACTAGAGCAAATCTCTTTGCAAAGCAACGAGTGGGTTTTCCGTTGGAGCTGCGGACAGGAAGTACTGACTTTGGGTCAAGGTCATGACACATTCTCAGGTAAAAAGCAATCTTGAATGAGGTATCAATTTCCAATGTTTCACCAGCAGAAAGACAGTAAACAGATTTACAGTTTCTCTTTCAGTGACCTTTAACTTGTCCACATGACCTTGCATCAAGGCCATAACACTCTCTGGTTACAAGCAATCCCCATCTGTGGTTTTCCGACTAGACAACTACATCCATTTCCTTTCAGACCATATATCAAGTCAAAACATCTTATGGGGGAAGCATAACTTGAATAAACTTGAATCTAACTTCCTGCGGTTGTGTCCATATGAATATGACTAATCATGACTTTGCTTTTCCTGAAAAGAAGATTTTTAAAGATGTTTCCTATATATTCCTATGTAAAATTTTGATTGCCCATTGTGCCCCCCAGGGGTCATCAGTGGAACAAAATTGAATCTTCGCTTTGTTTTCATATAAATGTGACTAATCATAGCTTTGCTGGTCCTGGAAAGAAGATTTTAAAAGATTTTTCCTATATATTCCTATGTAATTTAATCTCCCATTGTAGCCCTACCTTGTCCCCGGGGGTCATGATTTAATCAAAATTTAATCTACACTATCTGAGGATGCTTCCATATTAATAAGACTAATCATGGCTTTGCTGTTCTTGAGAAGACAATCTAAAAAAAAAATCTGTATATTCTTTGTTAAACTTTGATCCCCCATTCCGGCCCCACCCTTCCCCCTTGGTCGTGATTCGAAAAAATTGAATCGACACTATGTCAAAAAGCTTTCACATAAGTTTCCTTCTTTCTGACTCAGTGGTTCTTGAGAAAAATATTTATAAATGACCCCACCCAATTTTTACTACATGTATTTCCTAATTATCTCCCATTGGAAGATGATGTGGTCCTTTATATGAACAAAACTTCAATTCCCTTTACCCAAGGATACTCTGTGCTAAGTTTGGTTGAAATTGTCCCAATGATTCTAGAAAAGAAGATAAAGTGTGAAAATTTTACAAGTAGGCTTACGAGACAACGACGATGACAGTCAATAGACAAATTACATGTATGTACAGAAAAGCTCACTTGAACCTTTGGCTTTAGAGATGAAATACTGATTAAAAATTAAATTTATTTTGTCAAACAAAAGCTAGGTCTTTGGTAAACATGCAGGTAAGCAGGTCCCTGTGTATATAAAATATAGGTAGTGTCTTTCTCTCATTTCAGTTATTTATTTGTTTCCGGTAATATACTAAGCCACTTTCAATGTCAAGGATAAAATCAGAAGCCTAAAAATGACTTTTCATGCATAAACGTGTTAAATAGGATTTGTTCGCTTTATATAATCAAATGTTTGAGGGAGCAAGCAACGGTCGCTTTACGATTAACGTTGACACATAGAGACAGACAATGCATAAGATGATCTAAAGGCAAAGTTTCCGCAGTTTTTTTTTTAAATAATCCCCTATAGCTGTAGTGCGGTAGTATCAAGGGAAGCGTTTTTGGAATATACTCTTTAATTACTGTTTTGTAAGCTTTCCGTGTGGATATACATTAACTGAAGAGCAGACTTTACACCGCTCTGATGACGGGACACAATAAGGGCCTGTGTCCGGGAACTGATAGAAGTAACACTCTGGTTATAAACCCGTCCTATCATCTGTTATCTGTCAACAAGTTCAATGCGGGAATATTATCTCTTGAGTCTCGTGAATTTAAAGAAAATAAATTGCCCTAGGAAACAACTGAAGGCCTGTTTTCTTGTATGGTGAATTAGCAGTGATCCTTGGTCTCAACGGAGTAGAATTGCTCTTAATGAACAATTTGATAATAAAGAAAAGAAAAAAGAAAAATTTCAAAGGAAAGATAAGATGCCAATAAATAAGGATCATTATATATTTTGCTATACAGCTGACCGATTTTCAAATAAGATCAATTTATTTAAAGTTTTGTAGGGTAAAAAAGGAAAGAACACACAATACCAGAGAGCAAATATTTTCACTTTTCCAAGACATTTCTTAATGGAATGGTGTTTAGAACAATAAATGAATCATCAATCCAATATTTGTCATCTGTCCTTGTAATCACTATATAACCCAAACAAAATTCTGTAGAGTAGAAAGATTGTCAACATTTATTTTTAAATTAAATCTGATGAAAGATATGATATATATTTCAGTGGACAAAAAAGGAGATTTTCTTCATGGGAAACTACATGGAAGCCTCATGTTTGCATAGTTTCCAAGTGGATTTTATTGCTAATGCTGGGTTATTCCCCCAAGAATCCATGGCACAGAACCTACTACGTTTCAATTGCATTATGTTTCCCAAACCTCAGGTTTCCCGAGTCTCTAAGTTGTTTCTATGGGAAACTTGAGATTCCACTTATTTCCATAGGTCGGAAACAACATTGAATCGGAACGTTGTAGTTTCCGTCACGGAAACTTGAAGGGAATCCCCGGGTTTTGCACGTAGGGAAAATACTGGGAAACATCAGAATTCGTCTAGTTAGGAAACAACATGCAATCAGCGCGAAGTAGGTTCCGTGCCACAAAAACTTCAGGGAAATCCCCAGGTTTTCAACGAAGTTTCCCTGAGACATAAACATCATTTAATCTTATAAAAACATGGTAGTTTCCATACCAGGGAAACCTGAGGGAATCTTCAGCATTTCCATTTTGAAAAAAAAGACTGATATGCGTTATGCAACAATTTTGTTTCAGGTATCCAACGTTTTTTTTTTTTTTTTTTTTTTTTTTTTTTTTTTTTGAGTTTCTTATCGGTGTCTGATCAGCTTGATTTTGTTCGTGGCTTTGGAGACAGTTCTTTCGGTAAGACAGACAGAAAGAAAGAAAGCTATATACTAGTAGCTAGCTAGCTAGTTAGCTAGAGAGAGAGAGAGAGAGAGAGAGAGAGAGAGAGAGAGAGATCTGTTTCGTATTTGTAAGAAGAACAAAAATATTTCAGAAAATGTTTAGGAAAGTTCGCTGCGGTAACACATTGAACAACAAATGACCAGTATGATTGAAATCAGAATAAAGAACATAACTCAA